AAAGAGATCAAAAAATTATTTTTTATTGGGTTACAGTTAAAGACTTGGTACTTTTCCGTTTGTTAAAAAACGGAAAATGCCACTAAAGTTTTTGACCGTTTTGAACCCTTATCTCGGTACAAAGGCATCTGAGGAAAAAGAAGGGCTTTTATTAGCTTATATATGACATTTTGAGAATTAATATATGGGGGAGGGGGAGGGGGTGTAACAAAACAGAAAAGTACCAAAGACTTTTATTGGCTATAAACATATGTATAGGATATTAGGTTGATTTTTTAAATTTAGGGATAGAGATACAACTTCTAAATTTTAATTATTAAATTTTGGCTGGTTCAGGTTTATTTTTTTGGTACAAATTATGAGTTTATATAAGGCGTTAAAAGGAGAGATAGAGAGAGATAATATTCACCCGTTTTTAAAATTTTTTTTTAAATTTTCAAAATTTAATTAGCTTCAACTTCGTCTATTTTTGATGTTTTACGTTGTTCTTCAATTAATTGTTTTAATTGTTGTTGGTGTTGTTGTATTGCTGATTCTGCTTTTGCTGTTTGTCGACGATGTAGAGGGGCATCTTCTGCGGTTAATTCTGTTGCCGCTGATCCATCGATGCAGGCAGCAGCTGCCATTGAGGCTCTAGGGCCGTTACGCACTTTATCGTCTGGTTTGAGAGCAGTCGTGTTTTCCTGATAGGGAATAAGTAAATTAAGGATTGGGCACAAAAATATAAAAATTTCGAAATGTTAAAAATTCGAAATAGTGAAAGTTCATCCATGTTTGTGATTCCTTCGCCCTACATCACATGTTCTCTTCGCCCTAGATCCCATGTTCCCTTCGCCCTACATCTTAAGTTCCCTTCGCACCACATCCCATGTTTCCTTCGCCCTACATTACATGTTCTCTTCGCCCTAGATCCTATGTCCCCTTCGCCCTACATCACATGTTCCCTTCGCCCTACATCCCATGTTCCCTTCGCCCTACATACACTGTTCCTTTTACCTTATGTCAAATACATTTTCGCACTATGTCAGATTCCTTCGCCCTACGTTTCACTTCCTTTATGTCTTACTTCTAAAGTTCCCTCCAACCTATGTCTAAAGTTCCCAAAAACCCAATAAACTAAACTTATCCCAAAAATCGAAATAACAGAATTAATAGAAAGAGACTGTAAAACTTTAATTTACATCTGAGGAGGTAGTTCCACTCTTTTTACGATGAGGATCATCATCATGATTAGCTCCCTCAATAATTTCCTGCCCAGAAAGGTCGCATTTACATTTGCTGTGTTTGGCTTTACATTGTTGGCAATCACTACTTTCTGAGGTATTTTTATTTGTTCCATTTAAATCAACTTCTGTATTAGAGCGATTCTCAATATTCTATAAATAGAAATTAGATGAATGAAAATTTATATTTGGCTCCCTAGGTGAGGAAAGGCTATCTAAATTTCAGCCAATTCCAGTAAAACTTAGGCCAACTAACTTGTTGAAAACAAATCTCTACATAAAAAACAATAACCTAATATGTCCTTAAAAGACACTGACATACATCAGCCCTCTATTGTAAAAAAAAAACAATACATCAGCCACTAAAAACATAAATCAGCCCTCTATTGTAAATGTAACCTTGGGGTGGGAGCAGGGGCCTATGCAAATTAGATCATATTTCTGATATGACGTGTCATATTTATGACATGTCATATGTAGCTGTTCAAATTGTATCATATTTACGATATGATATCATATTTATGATATCATATGCCGCATATGACACGGGGATATGACGGCTACATATGACGGCCACATATGACGCCGTATCATATGCAGCCGTCATATGTAAATTATTCTGTTCAAATTAACATATGATATGACACCCGCATATGATTTCCTTATTGAGTCCCAATGAATACCTCAATTGAGTCCCAATGAATTTATTTTAAAAAATCCAAATCTCTATGCGGGATTATTTCAAAAATGTTACGTGATGGATTCTATAAAATCCCTTTATTAAAAATTGTTGGTTGAGATTTTTAATTTTTTTCATTTAAATTTAATTTTAAACTGAAAAATTGATCATTTAAAAATAAATTATATATTTCAATTAGGGTTGCTCACGACCGGTTATTAACCGGTACCCCCAGTTTTCGGTTAATCCAAATTTTAAAAATCGGTTTTTGGTTTTGAGTTTTAGACAAATACCGGTTTTATTTTGTGGGAATTTTTAATAAAATCACTCATTTTCAGAAGTTTTCGGTTTTTTAAATTTTGTTTTTAAAAATCGGTTAATTTTTGGCAAAAAATATCAAAATTTTCGGTTTTAAAACCGGTCGTGAGCAACTTTAATTTCAATGTCTTAAAAATTAATGGCCGGCTTCGCCTTTGATAAAATAAATTTTATTTTTTTTTAAATCACACTTTGTAGTTCGAAATTCCCTTAATCCCTCCAAATTTTATACCAATAGATAGAGGAGAGTGTTTTACATACTAAAGTTAAATATCAGAATTTTAGCTTAATTTTCCTAGGACTTTTAAAATTTAAAAGACGCTTAATCGAAAAAATATTTTCCCTTTTTCTCGCAAAAATGGTGTACTTTACGCGATTTGGATTTTTAAAAAATTTTGGATTTTGGATTTTTAAAAAATTTTTAAAAATTTAAGTATCCGCTAAAAAGTACATACACCCGCATATGATTTTTGCTAGGAGGACGTATCATATCGCAGATATGACACGGTTTAATTTGAACGCAGATATGACATGTCAGTGGAAAAGTCATACGCCGCGTATGACATGTCATAAATATGATATCATATTTCTGATATCATATTTATGACACAATTTGAACAGAGATATGACGGCTGCGTATGACATGTCAGAAATATGACATGTCATATGACGGCCGCATATGATTTTTCATATGACACAATTTGAACAGAAACTTTACATATGACGTGTCATAAATATGACATGTCATATCAGAAATATGATCTAATTTGCATAGGCCCCAGGCCAGTTTACCGCAGCCCAATTTACCGCCGCCCAGTTTACCGCGCCCAATTTACCGCCGCCCAGTTTACCGCGAGCCCAATTTACCGCGGGCCCAGTTTACCGCCGCCCAATTTACCGCAGCCCAATTTACCGCGAGCCCAGTTTACCGCGGGCCCAATTTACCGCCGCGAAAATTTTTATTATTATGGCGGGGGAGGCTGATCTTTCAACGGGGAAAGTTGTTCCGTAGACGGGGGGAGTTGTTCAAAGTACGGGGGAGTTGTTCCTTGGACGAGTGAGTTGTTCAGACAACGTGGAAAGTTGGTAAGTCAGCGGGGGAAGTTGTCCCGTCATTGGGGAAGTTGTTCCGTCAACGGGGGAGGTTGGTCCGTCAACGGGAGATGTTGTTCAGTCAACGGAAGAAGTTGTCCCGTCAACGTCCCGTCAGCGGGGGAAGTTGTCCCGTCATTGGCTGAAGTTGTTCCGTCAACGGGGGAGGTTGGTCCGTCAACAAGGGAAGTTGTTCCATGGACGGGGTGAGTTGTTCAAAGTGCGGGGGAAGTTGGTTCGTCAACGGGGGAGTACCCTTCATTGAGACAACATAACACCTTCTTGGATCAACTTCCCCCGCAATAATAACACGGCGGTAAATTGGGCCCGCGGTAAACTGGGCTCGCGGTAAACTGGGCGGCGGTAAATTGGGCGCGGTAAACTGGGCGGCGGTAAATTGGGCTGCGGTAAACTGGGGTGTACCCCCTTGGGGTCTAACTTAAGTAAAGCAGCTGGGCTATAGCTATTTCTCTCCTTTAGCTAGTGCAAAAGGTTATTCGGCGGCTGGGAGCGAACCAGCATCTTCAGTAGACCGGACTGATGTGTTAGCCATTACACCACGCCGCCTACTGTTCAGCCTTAGGAAATTAATAGCTAGATGCTTTACACTTAATCTACCTTATAAAGATGTGTATCTTACACAGAGGGTATCCAGTGGCCAAAAGGATATTAAAATTCATAGGTGGTTTATTATGGTTATCCACATATAAGGGATGGGTCGGATTACCCAAAAGGCGGTCCTTTTTCGGCATGAAACTCAACTAATAAATTTTAAGATCCGACGCGATTTTTTTTCACAACTAGACCTATCCCTGTCACATAGAATTTTGAATGTATTTTATCTTATAAATTAGTAGGGTACTCATTTCCCGAGACATTCATCTCCAAAATGAGCGAATTAAGTAAAGGGGAATATTCAAAATTGAAAGAATTCTTTTTTAATTTTCAAATAAAAATTCCACACCTTTCTCCTAAAAAGTCTCGAAAAAAATTCCCCCATCTTTGAATGATGTTGAGAATTTAAATGAGCATTATTAGCCGTTCCTGCATCTTTTCTCAAGTCAGAAACAATAACTCCATTAATATAAAAATGATTAAGCTCTCTAAAACATTCTGTTTCGATCATCTAAAATTTTAAAAAAATTAAAATTGTTTTTGGAGTTTACAAACTTCATTTTGCCAAGGAATTGAGACGGAACCAGTGTTGAATTTTTTGTAGAAATCTTTGTCACCGTCGTCCAACCTCACTCCTTTTACTGTGCTGAACTAAAAAATAAAAAAGATATTTTTGTTCCGAGTCCGTCTAATGAGCATTAGGAAAAATGATAAAGTTAACTGGTTAAACTGATGGAATTGATAGGGGAAAGGGACTAATGATAGGTGTGGAATACAAATATAAATATACTAAAATATATGTAAAATATGTAATACACCCATCAGTCTTAATGATAAGAGACAAATTAGGAAAATTAAAAAAAAATTTTAATATTGCATAATATAATCTATTTATTTTAAATTTTATTAAATATTAAATTTGCATTCATCAATTCTATTGGTTCCACTTTTAGTAAATTTGTTATTTTTGGATGTCAATTTAATAAATTGACAAATTTTTAGGAACTATGTGTGTTAGTAACAACTATAATTAAGTATCAGCTTATACTTTTAATCAACCTATACATTCAATCTTAACCCGTTAGAATTAGAATTTTGCTACTTGAAAGTATTCGAAGACTGTAAATTACCTGTTCAATATCCAATACATCTTTGGCATAAACAGAATGAGGGTCAGGACAAAATGGAGGGGCAAGCTGAAATATTTTTATTTATTTTGAATAATTTTGTTAAAAATGAGAAGAAAAATAATATCTTCTAATCACTAAACACAAAAATAACACAAAATCCCCCCTTAAATTAACCTTTCCAGCCTCCATTTTCTTCCAAGGCACAGGTTCTCTCCCCGTCCTTGCATCTGCTTGGGTAAAGAAAGGATGAGCTTTTAATTCCTCAGCTCCATCCTCAGGCCTTCCAACACGTCTACATCCCAATCTAAGTGTTGGCTCTTTATGTAGCAATCCTCTACACAAAGTTCTAGCCGCGTCAGTAAATTTTTCCCCATATTTTTCTGTATCTTCACGAACTCTTCTTTCAACCTCTTCACGCTTAACTTTTTCTTTGCGTTGTCGAAATGGAGCTTTTCCTTCAATCATTTCGTAGATTAGACAGCCCAATCCCCACCAATCTACTCCATAACTGTACCTCTCGTTTTTGACTATTTCTGGTGCTGAAAACAGAAAAATTTTTATGATATTTTTTTTTTAATTTTCGGATACTAGAGGTAACGAGGTAACCTCGATCTATCGCTGCCCGACTTTTTTCTTTGAAAATTCATCTGAAGGTTAGGGAAGTTAGAATCTAATAGAGTATATATCTCGTTAGCTAAGTTTAATGGTACCAATCGACTCGAAAATTGGTTTATGGTAGACTGGCCTATTGCTGTAAAAAGCGAGGATGGGCCCAAGGATATCGAAACCTTAACTTATTTCAACACGAAATTCTGCCCGACTTTTTCTCAAACCGAACTATCATTGCTACAGCTCTCTTTTTATTTTGCGACTTTTGATATATCCAGCGAGTTTTAATTATACTCATTTTAATTTTTAAAATTTCTCGAATATCCCCCCTTAATATTCAAAAAATCTCACTCTCCTCTTTTTTTACTTTTCAATTCCCTACTAAAAAATTCCATCGTCATTTTGCCAATGACAAAGTTCCGCTTCGTTTGCTCTAAAAAAGAGCAGTGCATAGAAAAGGCAAATTCGATTTGGCCGTAAATTTAAATAAAAAATAAAAATTTTTCTAAATTTGCACCAAACAGACAAACAAATCTTTAATAAAGAGAGTAAAGGAAAAAGTTTTTCTCCTTTTTTTGAGCTGAAGGATAATTTAATATTAAAGTTTTGCATAAATAAAGTATGTAAAATAATGCCAAATTTTATATAGCAAGAGGCTAAGAATTATATGTATACAGTAGGAACTAATTATAAGATAAACGATTAGGGTTGGAAAATCTGTAAATTATAATAAGGGGTATCTTAAAATTGTGGGAGGCCGGTGAAGCTCCTCCCAGCCTAGCAATTGAAGCAAGAATGAAACAATCAGTCGTTGGGTGAGCTCTCAGGATTAAAATCCATTAGATATTTTACTATTTTCTAGGATAAGTCTTTACTCTTAGAAGCCCCCCCCCCCCAGAGCCTAACCAAATTTCAAAAGTGTATCTTAAACTATGTTGTAGCTAATATTGAGTGTATCTGATAGAGGTATTGAACTTTAAGATGTCCGAAGAAATAATTAATTTACCCATATAGCCAACAGTCCCAACACGCCCTTTAATCGGTTCATTGTCTTTAAGCTCTACAGCAAGTCCCAAATCGGAAATTCGGACATGCCCTTAAAATTAAATGTTTTTTTGGATTAAAAACAAAAAAACTAGCCATAATCATCAAGTAAAATATTTTCTGGTTTTAAATCTCTGTAAAGAATTCTCTCTCTGTGTAAATGTTGAAGACCTAAAGTAATTTCTGCTGCATAAAATTGAGCACGTTTTTCATCGAATCCACCAGGGGAGAGTGTGTAGAGGTGGAATTTGAGATCTCCTTAAAAATACAAGAAAATTTTCATTGATGAATGCCCTAGAAGTGTTTGGGCCTTGAGGAAGAAAAGTTTATTTTCCAATTCTTCCCAAGACCGAAAAATACTTTTAGAGATGATTGGATATTAGAATTGAAGTCAATTCAAGACATAACTCTAAAGGTCTACAAATCTGGACATATTTGATGGAGTATCTCGAAGTGGTCTCCTAAGATATAAATGGTCTAAGAGACCCAATTAGGGTACATAGAAAGAATACGCATTTGAAGATAACAGAAAAGCTCAAATTCATTTCCATGAGACTTTTGTTATTGAATTTTAGTTATACGGAGATTATCGGGTGGTTATCCTGTATTTGTCTTGAGATATAATAGTAAGATCTACGAAGTTTCCTAGCAAATAAAGCAAAAATTAAAACGATTGTCTTGCATCGAAGAGCTCTCAGAATCAATTTCTATCAAATCTTTTGCTATTTTCCGAGATGGGTTCGACCCTTAACTCGAGGAATTTATAAAGTTTACGAATTTGAATCTCTCCGAACCTCACTTAAATTTTAATTAAAATTTATTTTTGTTTTACCTCCATTCATTAAAGTCAACACTAAACACAAAGCCTCCTTTGTTTCATAGGCATAAGCTAAACTAACGACGAAAGGTGAATTTATTCGTTGAAGTATTTGTTTCTCGTTTAAAGTTAAAGATTCTGCATGTCTCTTTTTTACCCGCTTCTTTTCCAATTTTTTCAAGGCGTACATTTTGCCTGAGGCTCTGACCTTTAAATAAGATTTATTTGAATATTTCTTGAGGGGTTAGAAAATTTTTTATAATTTTTTTTGGATAAGGGTGGAGGAAGGTTTCGGAAATTTTTTAGAAATTTCTAAGGGTTTTTGAAAATTTTCAAAAACGTTCTTGGATTTCTGCACCTGACAAGCACAAAATAGGGGGTTACTGAAATTTTTTGCAATTTTCTATTTTTCTGAAATTTTTTTCAAAAAAATTTTTTTCTAATCTTTTCCTCACCTGACAAGCACAAACTTCACCAAATCCCCCCTTTCCAAGTATTCGGTAAAGCCTAAAAGTATGTTTGTCCACAGGTCTCCTCTCTAGCCATTTCCATTGTAAATAACGATGAAAATAAATTGTTTCCATGAATTGTTTGAAAGGTTCGCCAGCTAATGAACGTCTAACTTCTCTGTGAAATTTAATAGAAAATTAGAATTTTTAATTAATAGAGGCATACTAAAAAGGAAAAGGAAAAATGAGTGAGCACTAGTTTTTAATTTTTTATAATAATTTAGCACTAATTTTTCTCTAATTTCCTAACAAATAATGCAAGAAAAAGTGAAGCTTTTTAAACGCTCATTTCCACCGAGGGCGCAAAGAGCTACAGTTATACTGTAATTCTCTGCTTTTGAATTCTTGATTTTGTTTTAAGATAGGGATTTATAATAAAGCAGATATATTTGTTGTGCCCGTACTTAACTTATAAAAAATTGAGCTTTTGCAGTCTTTAAAGAGGATTTGCTTTTTAAAGGGATTTTACTTAATATAATTTATTTAAAATTAAAATTTAAATATAGACAGATCAAATCCACTAGTGTCTTTGTATGTTTGAATGGTGTTTATTAATTTTTGTATGCTTGAGCAGTGCTCTGGCAGATATAGTGAATCTTCTACGAAATTTACGCTGTATGTTAAAATACCGTGATTATAGCTAATAGTTACCCCATGCGGTCAACTAAAAACCAAAATTTATCAGATAAATTTTTTAACATAAAGTACTCTAATTTCCCCCAATATTACTTTTATGAAATTACTTTGCAAGCCCAGCAAACAAAGTAGTTGAGGGTTGGCCGGTTGAATTAGCTGCATCTGTCGATATCCGCACACATTTTTGAATAAATTTATCATTGAGCAATTTATTTTGTTGGGTGGCAGAAATGGAGCTGGGTGAACAAGAAGGGGATAGAGGCTGAAATTGAAAATGATTTTAAATTTTTTTGCCTAAAACTTTAATTAAAATGTTAAATGAAAGTTGGAGAGGAAAATTTTAGAGAATTTCGTATCCCCGTGGAATGCAGCTATCTTCTTGGATTAGCTGAATTTACGATTTAAATTATCATATATTTTTAGGTAACGTCCGAGCCTGTCTTATAAAGAAATTTTAATTCAGTTGTAAGACAATTAATGAAGAAAAGACTTCATGAAGGTTAATTAACTAATTATACAAGAATTGATTATGCGTTAAAAACTTTTAGAATTTTGCTTAATATAATTTATTTCAAATTAGTTTAAATAAAACTGTGCTGAAATACGAATGACAGATATAGATAAATTTAATAGATAAATATAGTATTTTTGAATGTCGGAGGAACTCTTCGACAAGAAAGTAAACTTTTATGGTATAACTTCATAACTTTTCTGCATTTATGGTATACTAAAAGTCAAGTAATAGGCCCAACTGCCTTAATCCCTCGGTATCTAGTTAGGGTGATTGAAATTCAAACATTTATTTATTTATTTACCGGTCCATCACCATTAACTAAAGTTGTTTTATTTGCACTATTCTCTGTATTTGCTATTTCTGAATGATTTTTATCATTTTGTTGAGACTGATTTCCTTCTGTTAAGGCTAATTGTTCATCAAAAAGTCGAGCCATAGCGCCAGCTAATCTACGTCTTTGTTCTGGGTCATTGTCTAGAAAAATAAATTTTTTGAAAAAAAATTTTTGAAAAAAAACCCTTTATTTTTTAAATACTCTAAGAATTACGAGATAAGGGGGAATTTATATAATTGGACACATACTCTATGTAGAAGACCCATGATCTAAAAAATGAAATTTTCGTAATGATGTCTTTTAGATTGTTAACAAAAACAACTCGGAATCGAATGACGGTTCTTCTTTGAAACATTTGTTTAAAATAGTTTTAGACTTAAAGGATCTAAAGTTCAAAAAAATTTTTTCTATGTCGTAAATGTCAATTTATTTGATAAATTTGATTTTGTGAATCAATTTTTGTGATTTCTTTGGATCGCTTAAAAAACAAAATGGTCTATAAAAATGAAATCTTTGTAAGGATGAATTTAATCCTTAAATCTAGGGTTGTTGGCGACCGGTTATTAACCGGTACCCTCGGTTTTCGGTTATCGCCGGTTTTCGACCCCCGGTTTTCGGTTCCGGTTTTTGATTTACCCCCGGTTTTTGGTTAACCGGGACCGGTTTTTGGACAAATTTTCATCCAGAATATCCCATTAAGATTTTGTCACATTCTAAAGCTTTTAAATAAATATTCTATACACTTCATCGGGGATTAGGGAAACGAGAAGTTATCAAGGAGTTTGGATGAATGAGTATTAAGAGCTGTTGTCTAGGGATTTATAGGTCCGATATTCATTCGATGACTTTAAATCTCCTTATATCCTCGATATGCAATATCTCAATATATTTTCCAAAAACTTAAATTTCGATTTTCAGCGCCGCAGGCGCTGAAAATTTAGGAAAGCCAAGAAGCCTGATTTCTTTCATTTCGATCGCCGCATGAAAAATTTTTTGTTAATTTGAAGGCCAATAGTCAGATTTCTTATTTTTTTACGGCCGGAGGTGAAAATTTTGGAGAATTATGTAAGGCCACGAAGCCAGGTTTCTTCCTCTTTCAGCGTCGCAGGCGAAAATTTTGAGAATTTCGGAAAACAATAGGTAAAAATTCGCTGTTTTCATTATCTTTTTCCTCATCCATGTAAAAAATTTCCTACAACTTCTTACACTTTTGATAATGCATAAAAATAAATTTGCATATTTAGGATCAAAATTAAAAGCTTAAACTTCATTTTTGGAAAAAAATACTGAAATAAACTTCACATACAAAGCAAGATTGAACCCAATCTTATGAACATTGTCGCCCGCCAGCTAACCCACTAAACTACGGATCTCCTCAAAGAAACAAAAAAATTATTATATATATTTTGAAAAAATATTTTGCCAAAATGTATTTTAGTCATTCGAATTCCCAAAAAATTCTCAAAAATTTCCATCGTTAGGGGTGTATTTTTAAAACCGAAACCGGGCGGTTTTGGTCACCGGTTTTCGGTTATCGCCGGTTTTCGACCCCCGGTTTTCGGTTCCGGTTAATTCGCCAAAAACACCGGTTAACGGTTCCGGTTCGGTTAACCGTCCGCCAACAACCCTACTTAAATCTACTAAAAGAACGCTGGGAGTGCTGGGAATAAAACAAAAAAGAATTATCAATTTTCATTAATTTTCAAGAAAGTTATGACAAAAAGAAAAAGTGCCAAAAATTTGCCGCACGCTGTATAATTTGTGGAAACACGAAGGAAAAAGAATGTTAATAACTAGGGTTGCCGTTTTTGATTCGAGCCGACCTTCGGTGCATTTTTTCGAGCTTGGTTTTTTCGATTCTGTTCGTTTTAGAGCTTTTTTAGCTGAAAAGCCTCGGGTCGCCCGATCTTTCGAGTTTCGTTCGAGCGAGCTAGCAAACCTATTAATAACATTGCCGATATCTTGTACCGGCATACAAAATTAAAAATTTCAAACAATTGAAAAATATCATGGAATTTAAAAAATGCCAAAATATTTAACAAATTTCCAACGTAAGAAATTATATTAAGTAAATCATTTTAAAAAAGTTTTATATTTAACTCGGATTATTTGAATTTAAAGTCATATCAGGATTTTAAGACACCCAAAGCTAATTCTAAATCAACAACTGCCTTTGTTTGACTAAGCTCAGAAATAATATGGGAATTTTATCTTATTGAATATTGTTTCTGCTTTTAAGTTCGTTGAGAAAAAATAAAATTTTTGTAAAATTAATCTATAAGTAAGGTTATTCAAAAAATAATCTTACTTACTCTTACTTTACTTTCTCTTAATTTATTGTAAAAACATCGGGTCTTTTAAATTTGTCTATTGTCAAAAACAATTTGTAAACTATGACTAGAAGAAATAATTCTCGGGGTTAACTTGCCATAAACTTTTTCTGACATCCAAAAATAAATACAAATTAATGTGGTTCAAGCAAGTTAAGCTTATAATGCTAAATTATTAATAAATTTTAAATCGACTAATTTATATTATGTAGATTCAAATGAAATTTTATTTTTCCTTACCACTAGTTTCGTATTCCTCCACCCTTTCTAAAAATCGCCAACAAATAGCCAAATCTTCTTGTTTTTGTTGTTCACAAAATCTTTTAAAAAGTAACCGACCAATTGGTTGTTTTTCAACAATAAAAGGATAACTAATTAAATTAAAGATTAATTTATCCCCAAAAAACTACCTCAGGTCAATGTCATTTTTGATTGGAAGGCATTGTGAGTAGTGACTTGAAGGGAAAATTTATTAATTTTCTGAATTCTTCGAAAATAAGCTTACGGGAATTGAAGGTAGTGACGCCATTTTTTGCTTTTTCCTTTCCTTTGCCCACCGGTCCTGGCCTTAAAAAACTATATTTGAAACATTCGTTAAACTGGATAAGTTATAGGAAATATGGTTCAGAAATAAACTTTTGATAAATATGTATAAATATTTCTATAAATATTTCTTAGAACCCCCTTACAAAAAATTAAAACCAACCCCAGGAAATTTTAAAATAAGCTCAATGCTCGATTAATTTAAAAGAACAATTGAATTTATATATATTAAGTAATGTATAAATTTTTACTTAGATCAGGGTTGCTCTTTTGAATTATTTGGTTGGCATTTGCCCCCTTTTTGCCACTTTTTTTACATTTCTCCATTTTCGCCCCCTTTTTGGGAAGCCATGCCCCCTTTTGGTGATTTAGAAAGGACCACCCTGGCTTAGATATATTAGATGATTTAATAAAAGGAGTGGAATGACAAGATGTAGTGACAATTAATGAAAGACAAATCAACAAGAATTTTAACCACATTAAGTAATGGAATGGAAAAATAAAACTAAAAAATTTTGCTTAATATAATTTATTTCAAAGTAAATTAAATATAACCAAGAGCAAAATTGGTCTAAAAATGTTTAAATCTTAATTATGTCTTACAGTATTTTTGTATGTTGGACTATGTTCCGACAAATTATTTTTCTTTAATAAAATCTTTCATAGGACAGACTTATTTTTCTATGATGTGTTCGTTATACAAACATTATACCCACCAGGTTAAATAAATCATAAAAGTATTTATTCTTGCCTTAATGTAGACCGTGTTAGCAACAATATTTTCAATCTCCATTGACCACTCCAGTTTAAAACAACGTTTCCTCTTTTCAATAAATCAGCTTAGTAAAAGCTCCTTATATTCAAAATGATGTGTAAATTATTAAAATTAATATTTTTTTCATTTAGCCAATGGCATTTTAATGCGCAGAAATATTATTTTCTTAAATAGAAAAATTTATAGGGAGTAAATCTATGGGGGCGTTAATAAAGGAAATGGATGAAAATTTTAAAAAATAAAATGATTTGAAAAATAAAATTTTTAGTGAAATAATATTGTTTTTTTCTCTTCGCTAAATGTCATTTTTAATTTATTTTTGGAAAGAAAAAAATTAATTTTTAAAATTAAAAAAAATTATTTCGACTATTTTAATTATAAAATTGTTAAATTAGAAGACAAAAAAATTTATTTTGCGCAAGATAAATTGAAAAAAAACTTAATTGGTGCAGGAATATGTGGGAAAAGGAGTTAAATATTCTCTTGAAAAAATAACGGAAATGTATTGAAAAAAAGAGGAAAAAGGGAAGGGGAAAGGGGGGCAACCACCAAGTAATAATTGTAGTACAATTGAGCGATACGAGGAATTGGAATAAATTTATTGAATAAAAGAAACACGCGGTTGTCGAGAATTGGTAAAATGGAAAATGAATTAAAGAGAAAAAAGGTAGTTGTTACTCTAGGGAAAAGTAGAAAAAAAAGGAATTGGAGAGGGGTAAGGTGAACGGGTCAGAGACAGTAGTGCGTAAGGAACATTGGGTCGCAGACTTATAAAATTGCTTAATGAAGACTTGAAGTCTTAAAAATTTGTCTAGGCCTCCTCAAAAGTGTTAACTAGCTTCTCTAAAAATTTCAGAATTTCTGATTTTGTATTTCAAAATTTATGATCAAAAGAATGTCAGAATATGTTGAAATTTGACACTTAACTGCATTTTTGCTTATAACTTCGGAAATTTTCAGAATAAAATTATGAAATTTTCAGAAAAGGTAGATAACACAATTAAAAACATCTGTGCAAAATTTCACCTTTCTAGCTGCCAAAATAGCTATTTTATAAGCCCACGTCCTACCCTTACTGCGCCAGGATGGTTGACTTTAAAAATGAGTACAAGCAAAAAATTCGTTCAAGAGCGGGTTAAAACAACAACGGAAACAGAGGAAAAAATAACAAAATCATCAATAAAAGAGAAGAATATTCATCAGTTATTTTGTCTTTGTACTAATACTACTTAACTCCCTCCCTTTCATTTTTTAGTTATTGTTTTACGGCTGTCACTAAGAGAGAAAGTTATAGAGTAAATTGAAGAAAACGTGACAATAATATAGTGTTATATAGAAGAAAGAGAATAGAAAGTTATATATATATATACTAATATTCGAATATTAACAAAGTGAGGATAAGTATAAGAGTTTAAATCCGTAAATAATGGAACTTTTAACAAGGAAGTATTTTTGCCAAAAATTGTTAACAATAGGAGATTAAAAATAATGAAAGATATAACTGAAATTTTGAGATTTTTTGAAAAATAAAAAAAATTTTTGTAGAATGTTATCCTATCCCTTTCACGTAGGGATGTGGTCTAAAACAGAACAAAAGAACAGAGGATCTTTCGTCTGATTTCGGTTCTGAATATCCAAATATGTATTTTTCACTAAAAGACAATCCTATTTTCACTCATACCATCAACTTTTATACAAAAACATTAGTCATATCAATTTCCAATTTCCAAAAATCTAAGATTTCAGAAAAAATACGAACAACTCAGACATGTTTTGATAAATCTTTTTTGAGGGTTATAAATGCCCCCGACAAAAATACATAGCCAATTTTGACAATTTTTGCAAAAGTGAATTTAGGTTAAGATAATTAACCAAAATGATTGAACTAATGCATATTAAGTATTTTATCTAAATCTCCAAGTTTTAAGAAATTCTGTTATTTTAGAAATGCGAGGAACAAATATGTAAGAATTTTTGATATTTATTTTTAGAGGGTTTCGCAAAACCCTCTCACAAAAATAAAGCGCTTCACTACATAACAGTTAATTAGTGTAGATTGTGAGCTAATTAAATAAAAATAATATTGAATTTATAAATATTAAGTATTTTATTTAGATTAAATTGATTCAGTAGGATTAAACCAAGACTTAGATTATTACTTATTTTGGAAATACAATCCGAACCTTCGTATTTAGAAAACTTTTTGGTTAAATTAAATTTAAAATTTTCAAAATTTTCGCCTAAGCTCTGAAAAAAAGACGTACTCTGTTTTTTTACCTTCTAAAATTTTAAAAATTTTACTAATTTTTGGTTAACTTTTTAGAGTGCCTTATAGCTCAGTCCGACATTTTAGGTTCCGACCTATTTTTTTTGCAAACTTATAATGTTGAGTAAAGCTCAAAAAACACTTATTTGGCACGGTACCATGCTCCTACATCGGACCTATTTGAGCCTAAAAAACCTATTTTTTTTCCTAAAAAACCTAACCTATTTGAACCTATTTTGACCTTTTTAGGACCTATTTTAGGTTTTTTGAAGATTTTTATTAAAATTAGACTATTTTCTATCAATTTTTTGTTAAAATGAAGATAAATATTAATGATTCTTTCAAAAGATGATTATTAAACATGAACTTGGGGTAAACTGCACTTTACCGGGCGATTTTAGAGTTAGACAGTAAACTGCGAGCGAGTAACTGCGAGCGATTCCCCGGCTCAAGACCAAGACTAGACTCCTTTTCCTCTCTTTCCTTTGACTGGTTAACAGCTTGGCGTGCTTTTTTTGGGGCTTAAGTCATGAGAAGATCGGCTCAATGAGCTCACCAGAAAGAACTCGTTAAACCGAGTCGAATGACACCAAAATCAGCTCCATTTGATGATTCGGAACAAAATTATAACTAATTTAATCCTCGGTTGAAAAACTGTGCTGCTACAGGGGGTATCGAATGAGCGACAAGAGTCGTTTTTTAATGAGATTCGAATGTACTCCCACGAATTTATTCATTATTTAAAGAAGAAAAAATTTTTTCTCAAAAATTTTTTTGATTTTATCAATTTAGTAACCCAAAATTCGAACCTATTTGGTCAAAATTCAGACCTATTTTGGCCTTTTTTCGATTTTTTCGAACCTATTCTGCCACTTTAAAAACCTAAAATAGGAACCTATTTCTCACTTTTTCGGACCTAAAATGTCGGACTCTACTTATAGCCCTCTGGCAAATATACGCATACCACAATAAAAAATTCCAACTAATGGATGAAGGCTTGGCTAATTAAATGAAAAAATTGAATTTATGCATATTAAGTATTTTATTAAATTTCCAAGTTTAGAAATAATTCTGAAATTTTAGAAAGGTTTATCAAGAATAGTTGGAGAATTTTTGTTATTCAATTTTAGAGGGTACCAAAACCCCCTCACAAAAATATAAATTTGATAAGAAAATAATTAGCGCAATTAAGGTTGATTGTGAACTAATTAAATAAAAACAGTATTGAATTTATAAGTATTGTGTATATTACTTAAATTGATTAAAGTAGGATTAAATAATTTGAAATTTAATAATTAAATTATCCGCTTTAATGTCCAAGTTTTCAATAAATTAGAAAACTAATTGTAAGAAATATCTGGAGAAATTTTGTAATTTTTAGAGGGTTGTGAAAATCCCCCTTCAAAAATATTTTATCGACTATCAAAATTACTTGACTGATATGAATCTGATTTCATTAACTAAAAGAAAAATTGAATTTATATATATTAAGTAGTTATTAAAATTAGTATATTTGAATTGAAAAATTTAAATAAACAAATAAATATTAGTTTATTAAATAATTAATAAGATATACATATTATATTAAAAATACAAATAGGTTATCGAACAGAACAGGTGTTAAATTTGCTAAAAATTTAATTACTTATTCTATTTTTATTTCATATTTTGATCATTTTAAAATTTAAATTCAGAATATATTTTTAAAATAATACTCTCCTAATTTTAAAAAGAATTAAAAATAGCCTTTAAATTTAATTTAAAAAATTTAAATTTAGAAAAAGCTTGGTTTGTGGGTGGAAAGAAGGATTCTTTGTCTAGATTGGAAGACAAGAAAAATTATTTTAGAAAATTAAAAAAATTTGGGGGGAAAAGGACTGAAAATTCTTAAAATAGAAATCCATAAAATATAATAAAATAAAAAAAACCTTTAGTTGACAAAAAGTGACATTTCATCCCAAAATCTCTTTCTCCTCCTCCTCCTTACCTTTAAAAACGTCGCCCCATTAATCTTCCAACGATCAACTTTTTCTCTTAAATTATCCCTCAGTTTATTCTTCATCTGTTCTTAAATCTTCAATCTCTTCGAAAAAAAATATTTGCTACATTCCCCCCCCCCCTTTCCTCCTAACTTTACTCAACCCCCCTCCCTTTCCTCCTAAAAAAATTCCCCAAATTCTTCTTCCCGTTTCTCAATTTTCACAATTTTTTCTTTAAAAAATCACAAACATATGTTTATAAAATGAGCAATTTTGGGAACATATGTGAAGGAAAAGATTGAAAAAAAATGAAAAAAAAGTACCGAATTTGGCCATATTAAGAGGGACTAAAAAGATTTTTTTGAAGAAAAAAAAGGAAGAGGCGTGGAAAGGACATTTTAATGTTGGACAGGAAAAAATATTATTAAAAAAATAGTGAATAAAAAGGAAAAAATAAAATAAAAGAGAGGGGAGAACAGCCGGCCAAGAGAGGAGGAGGAATTGAATTGATTGGGCGGGATATAAAAATAAAAAAAGAGACAGCCGGCTTTACAGAGCCAGCTTTAGTTGACTGACATTGAGAAAGGGTAAAACGGCTGGTTGGATGGGGATAATGAAGTAGAGAAGGGAGGGAGAGAGAAATGGAAGGGAGAGAAAAGGAGAAAATTGGAACAACTGCCCAATCCAACCCTTAAACTACTGCGGTTAGGAAGGGATTAAGCTTTTGGAGGGATTTTGTTTAAAAAGAAAGAGGGATTTTTGAATTATAAAATTAATTAAAGAATATTCACAATAAAGCCAGACTTTTATTTTTGTAAGACTTTCTCCTATCATTTTTACGTCTATCAGGAACAAATAAAGTACTAAATTTCAGTCATTTACATCGTCAGATTTTCGGTTTTAAATTAGTTTAGACATCACAGTTGCAAACTTTCAAGAAAGTCTGAATTATTGCAATATTTTAGCGTTTTTATTTTTTTGGATAGAGGGTTATGAACAACCCTCTTACAAAAATAACCAATTGTTTAAACTAAGAACCAACTAATTGTAAAACATGCTGAGCCAAATTTAAATAAAAGAAAAATAAATTAATACATATTAAGTAAAGCTGAATAATTAATTTTATAATTAGAGGTAAATTATTTAGGAAGTATTACATGGGAAGCCCCTTCACCCAGTGTCCAGCAAAATAAAAAAATGTATCATGAATTGAAGTGTAGCTAAAAATGAGATATAATGTATTCATGCTCACAAAAGTTCGAAAGCTTCTCATTATCTTTTGGTTTAAAATATTTATTTGGAAAATTATTAAATTTTATTCACCTAAATTCCTAATGATTAATTTAAATTATAAAAATAATTCAAAATATTACGAAAAAATTTTAGAGACTGAAACGTCTCTTTTTTTGTTAGAGTCTGACCGCAGGACTGAAACATGTACAGCACTGAAACGCTTGTGCTGAAGTGTCCTTTTAACTATAAATTTGTCGAATTACAAAATATCTAAATTTAAAAATGTCCAAAATAAAATTTTTGAAAATTTAAGCGCTTTGTTTGAGCGTGGGTCTGTGTTTTTTTTAAATTTATTTTAGTGTTTTGAGATTAAAATTAATTATTTTTACTTTGTTTTATAGGAAAAGATGACTTCAGAAAACGCAGGTGGTAGTGGAAGCATTCCAAATGTTGAGACTATAGATGATAAAAAGCGAATTGCACAACTTGGTTTAAATTTGATTTTTAAATGTTTTCTTAGAATTTTCTTTTAGAACACGAAATTTTCACTGTTTGTAAACAATTGGACGAAAAAAGCGAAAAATTGAAAGAAGTTCAGCAACAGAATGCGCTCCTTAAAGAAAGGGCGAGCACTTTAGGTTTGTTTTGTTAAGCATAAATGTGGGAAGAATGGTAATCCTTAAGATCATTGGTCCCTAAAAAAATTGGTAAAAAAGTGCTGTTTTGATAATTTTGAGGTCTGCCATTAGGTAATCGAGTGTGCTGAGTCCGAATCTGAGCTTAGAATTGGTATATTTCGAACCCCGGACCCAAATTCGACAAAGTCGGTTTCGGGGTAAACACTTCGAAATTAAAAATTTAGGGCTAATCTGCACAACTATTCGAGCTGAGTCGAATGGTATCAAAATTATGATGTTTCGACAACTTTCGACGAAGTCATGATTAATTAAATACACGCTTGCTGAGACTTCCGTATACAAATCAGACACCATAACTTCGTCTAAAGTTGTCGAAACGTAATAATTTTGATGCCAGCGACTCAGTTCGAAGAGACGAGTCCGATTAAGCAAAAAATTTGAAATTTTGAATTTCTACCCCAAATTCGACTTTGTCGAATTTGGGTCCGGGGTTTGAAATAAACCAATTCTAAGCTCAGATTCGGACTCAGCACACTCGATTACCTACTGGCAGACCTCAAAATTATCAAAACAGCACTTTTTTCCCAATTTTTTTAGGGACCAATGATCTTAAGGATTACCGGAAGAATCCGAAGTAGTGTTGTATTTTTGCTTTAATTGCGGGTTCAGACATCAATTCAATTACAAACAAATACAAGAAGAACCCAAAATTTTGTGCTTTTTAGTTCCGGGCTCAATCTCATATTTGGGATCAACCTAGGGATTTTTAAATAACTTCACACAATAATTTTTGCCTTTACCCCTTATATAATTTCATTTTTATTTTCAGAAAAGGACAAGCTTGACCGTTCAAATTTTGTTGAGTCTGTGGTTCAGAGTCGTGACAATTTTATATTCGAAAAGGTTTGAATTTTGACATTATTTAGGATTGTAGCGCTATTTTTGCTGACTTCCTTATTTCATCATAGTCCGCAAAATTTGTCCGCAAATTCGCTTTACCAATCTTTTTTAGTCTCAAAATCTTTATTTTCCTTTTATAAAGATTTTTATTCCAGACTCAGTTGCAAAATGACAAACTTGCACTTGAACAGAGGAAGGGAGAACTTGAAATGCAGATTTCAAAGTTTACGAATGACAAGCGGCGTCATCTTGGTTTTGTTTCAATTAATATTTTTTTAAATTTTATCTCTCACATATAGATGAAATTGAACAACTCCGCAATTTGTGTGACACTTTAAGAACTGACAAAATTCAACTTCAAGCACAAATTGACGACTTTCAATGCGAGAAGGCTGCTCTAGCTGTATTTTTGTTTTTTAAAGAATTAACGAAAATTTGTATAATTTTAAGTATGACAAAGAGCAATGGAGTCAAGAGAAGCACATTTTACTTTCAAGTAAGCAATGGTACATGGACGAGATCTCCAATCGTGAACAGAAAGTCAACGAATTGAGAATTCAAAATATTCGGGAAAAGTCGGAACTTCAACGGGAAATTGCTCTTCTCAACGAGAAAAATAGTGAACTTTCTCTTAATGCTACTAGAACATCTAAGGCACATCAAGAACGCGAAGCTGAGTTTGCCGAATTGAAAGAAAAAATGAAAAATGTTTGGGAATTTTTAAAAATTTTTATTAAATTTTTTTTTAGGTTTTGGAAGAGAATTCAACTCAAATTAGCGAGTTAGAAGCTGAATTAAGGACAAGGCAGAGACTTACTAAAGTTTATAAGGATTCGATGGAAAAGGCTGATTTGGAACTTTCTGAGGCTAGAGACAATGAATTTAGACTTGATGAGTTGGTAAAGGAGAAGGAAGAAGGTTTCTCTTTTTTTATTTTGTAATTAGGCGAGAAATTTATAACTTTATGCGCCATGTTACTTTCCTTTCCCTCTTATCTGCCAGTATCCAAAATGGATATTGGAACTGTAACCCCATTATTTATGAAATAATTTAGTTGAACTCAAGTGTTTGTCAGCGGTTTCATCAGGGAAGTTCTGGTCTTACCATAGGTCATTTTCTCAAGAGTGTAGCCAGGGATACCTCAAAGCCAGTGGGTCCCCTTTAAGAGACCCACTAAAATGGATTGTTCATAAAATTCTAAATTGTCATTTTTTGTATTTTTTCAGCTTTGTTGGCAATGTCATCAGAATTGCAAGAAGCCAAGGAAGTTCATGAAAAGATTTTGAAAGAAAAAGGTTTAGACACATTTTATTAGCTTTAATTTATAATCTCAATTTTGTTAGATGATGAATTGAAACGTCTTTCAGAAGAAGTTACAAAATCTACAGAATTGTTGAATGCTGGATTTAGACGTTTGTTGAACTTTTTTTAATCACAAAAAAATTTTTTTTAAGTTAATCGTCCAGATGAGGACATTGCTAGAATCTCCCCAGCAGCCGCTGCAGCCAGTAGTCTTTTAAAAAGTGGCATGTCTTTGACTGGAATTTATGCTGAACATTGTCGTGTTGTTAGCGAATTGGAAAAGAAAAATGCTGAATTTTCTAGTCTTGAGAAATATGTGACAGAACTCATTCAGGTTTTCTTCTTTGATTTTTGGACAGTAAAGATGTAATTTTATTTTAAAGGATTTGGATTCGCGAGCACCAAAGTTCCTTGAACAACGCAAGGCATATGACCAATTATCTGAACGTAATGAATGTTTACAGTTGCAAAAGGATGTAAGAATTTATTTTTGATAGATTTTTTAAGTCGAGGTTGGCGCAGGACAGGATTCTGCGTCTGTAATCTCGATTTATCCCGCAAACATGATTTTGCTGATCTCTTTATAAAAAATTTTCTAAAAATTTTTTTTAGTTATTGAGCAGCGAATGTCAAAAACTTCAATCTAAATCTGACTCTTTGACTCGTGAGCTTACTTTCACAAAGCGTGAATTGGAGCGTTATCAACGAGAACACAACATTCAACAAAAACAGGTTTTTTTCTTTCATAGATCTTTTCAGGTTATTTTCTGAATTTTAGATTCAACGCTTCCTTTATCTTTTTGAGAAAGGTTCTCTTTCATACAACGACTCTTTATTAAATGAGAGCATTGCTGATGACGATTATCTTTTTGCTAACATTAGCGAACTTCAATCAAAAAATATTCAATTGGCTGAAGAAGTTGAACGTCTTCGTGGAGAGCAGGATAAGGCAATTGAAAATTATCACAATACTGAGTTTTTTTTTTTTGAAATTCTCGAAAGACTTTTTTTAATTTTTTAGAATTGAATTATTAAAACAATCACGTAATCAATTGCAAGAAGAACTGAGCCGTCTTAAAGAGAATTTTAGCAAGCAAAGCACGTTGGTCCAAGAATTGACTATGCAAAGAGATCAATATAAAAAATTGTATGATCAACTCAATAATGCAAATAGTAATGGAATGAGTTCGAATGAATCGACAGCTTCGGAATCTACACAGCCCAATTTAATCCAGCAACCGACGATTAAGAGCCTTCAAATGGAAATTATGATGTGGAAAACAAAATCTGAAAGATTTCAAGAAACTAATATATTTTTGAATGAAGATCGGCAATCTCATGAAAAGTATGGATTTTGATTCTATAATAGTATTAGTTTCGGACTAGCGTTGGACTTGGACACAACACGGTTTAAAACGTAAAATTTATGAAAATGAGCCATTTTTGGAAAATTCTCCTTAAAATAGGTATTTCACTGTAACTCAAAACAGAAAAATGAGGATACCGATTAACAAGGGCCTCATCCCCCTTGAAATCGACCCCCACTGGCTACGCCCTTGCTGATTAATACCCTTTAATAAACAATTCTAATTAAAGCCTTTATTTAAATTTTAAGAATTCTCAATGACCGTCTTGACCAACAACTTGAACAAATTTTTACTATGCGTACAACAATTGGGAAATTGGAAAGCGATCTTGAATTTCAAAACAAAAATCAACAATTGTTGGCAAAACAAATCGATTCTTATTCTCATGACTTGAATCGTTTAAATAAACAACTGTCCGAATCCAAACGTCAAGTTGAATCATTAGAAATTCGAAATGATTCTCTTACAAATCAATTGCTTGAAAAGCAGCAACGTCTTTCAACACTTGAGTAGGCTTCTTTTTGGATTTTTTTCTTAAAATTGTGTTTTTTATTTTTTAGAGTACAAAATCATTCTTTGTCTGAGGAACGTGCCGTACTTACAAGTCGTGATCAGCGTTTGCAAGCGGAGTTGGAAATTTTGAGACAAAACCGTTATAGTACAGAGCGTGTTTCAACTTCAATTCAAGAAATGGAATTATTGCTTAAACGAATGGAAGCAGAAAAATCACATTCTATGGATAGCCAACTTCAATCAGCTCTTTTGGAGCGTGATAACCTTCGTCAACTTATTGACAGCTTGAACGAACAAAACAATCAACTTGTTAATGGCCTTAAGGTTTGAAAAATTTTTAGTAGGCTATTCTGAAAATCCCGATGAACGGGTCGGCGTTGGGCCCCAGTCGTGGGACGCCACAATTGGGGCTGTGAAAACATGAGTGGAAGGGGGATGGAGAGCTGGCCAAGAGTTCTTGAGAGCGAACGAAAATTAAGATTGAACTTTTTTGGCCAGTTCTCCATCTCCTTAAATAATGATAATAATAGGGGTGGGACAGCTATATTTTTTTAAATTTATATTTTTGTAGAACAGTTTGAATGTTGCTTCTAGTGAGCGTGACAAAGCTCAGGCCGATGCAAAATCAATTCAAACTCGTTTGGACGCAATTGAACGAATTTATGAACAGTTGAAGCAAGAACATGAAACTTTGAAAAATGAAATGGAACAGATTCAGTCAACAGACACAAACCTCGAAGCCTGCAAGAAGGAAATTCAGAAAATGAAAAATACAATTGCTTACCAAGAAAAGCAGATTGCCGAATTTGAAAATAAATGTGAAGAATTGAATGGGGCAATTGAAAGGAAGGATAAGCAACTTGAAGAAATGTGCCGTTTGGGAACAAATATGGAGGGAACAATTCAGGTTTTTTAATGAATGAATCAAAGAACGTATCCAGGTTTTGATTTTATGGGAGCTAAAATCGTGGCGCGAACTTTGCGGACCCGAATTTTGCGGACCCGAACTTTGCGGACCCGAATTTTGCGGAACGAAAGTTGCGGACCCGAAGGTTGCGGACACGAAGTTTGCGGACCCGATTTTTGCGGAACCAAGATTTTAGGACCGACACTTGAGTAAAAAGTAAAAATTTGAAATTTTATTTTTCGATGATTCCGGTAGAGTTCACCATGATCCGTACCGGATTCAAGATTTTTCTTGATTTTTCAAAATTTTTATCAATTTTTTATCCTAAAATTATTTCATAATTTAAATAATCGAGAAAATTCCTTAAAAAAATCATTTATATGGCCATTTCGTAAGGTCATGATGCTTGAATTTATCCTAATTAACGCCGCAGGCTAAAATTTTTGAAATTTCCGAGGTTCAGTAGACTCTATTGTCGGTCCGCAAATTTTTGGTCCGCAAATCTCAGATCCGCAAAATTCGGGTCCGCATAGTTCGGGTCCGCAAAGTTCGGGTCCGCAAAGTTCGGGTCCGCAAATTTCGGGTCCGCAAATTAAAATCCGCAAATTTCGGCGCGCCGCTAAAATAGGGTATGCGCCATAATATTTTCGTGTGCTTTGGCGTTTCAAACGCAAATTTTCTTGTACATATATTTTATTTTTCTATCATTTCCTCCTAAATTTTTTTATTTTCCCATTTTAGGGGGAGGGGGTTATAGCCCCAGAAGCCCCCTGGCTACGCTCTTGAATGAATTAAAGCGTTTTATAATTTTTAAATTTAGTTTGGTAATGTGGAGAGACAACGTATGCAAGCAATTCGTGAACAGCTTGAGGAGGAAATGAACAAAAAGTATATTTTTTAAATTTATGATTTAAAGAGTTTAATTCCTATTTTTCTAGTAAATTGTTAATCGAAGACTTGAGAAACGCTGTTTCAATAAAGGAAATGGAATTACTCGACCAAACGAAAAATTTAACTGAAACCAACAACAAACTTGACGAATTAAATGCAAAGACTGAACAATGGATAGTGGAGAAGGACAAAGAAACACACGAATATAAGCGTGTTATTGATCAACTTCGCCTTGAGAACGAAAAACTTCAAAGCGATTTTGAAAGGGTTTGGTTTTAATTTTTGAATTTTTCTTTAAAATTTTCTTTTTAAAGGTCAATTCCAATTGTACTGACTTTTCTGAAAATAATTTGAGATTGACTACTGATTTGGCTAAGGAAATTTCGAAGAGCGAAAATTTGACTCAACAAATTGCCACTTTAGAGAAGGAATGTCAAGATAAGTGTGAAAAATTCCAAAAATCGATTGTATGTTTTTATAAAATTTTGGAACATTTTTCGACTTTTTTAGGATATTTTCGAGCAAGAGAAGCTTCGTCTTCAAGATGAAATTAACACTTATATGACAAGAGACAAGGAACACTTGGAAAAGCAGGCATCTCTTTATGATGAAATCCAAGAGGTTTCTCATGAAAAAAGAATTTAAAAAATCTTTTCTTTTGCAGCTTCTAAAGAGAATTGAGTTTATGGAACGTTTGCAGCACACTATTGCTTCCCCATCTCCAAATACCAGCTTGAACGTTTCTGCAACAATGTCGACATTCTCACCAATCTCGTATATTTTTTCTTGATTTTTTGGAAATTTTTAAAAACTCGTTTTCTAGACGTCTTTCAACTACCGGAATCGAAACTTCTACTCAACAACATACCGAGCGAATAAATGCAATTATAGGTTATATGCGAACAGATAAGCAAAAAGAGACAGAATTGCGAATGTCTGCTGAATTAGAATTGCAACGACTCCGTGCCAAATCTACCGTTGATCAACAAAAGATTTTACAATTGGAATCAGAAATTGCTAAATTGACCAACGAAGTTGAAATTAACGCGAAAATTGCTGTTGAAAAAGAAGAATTGTTAACTCAATTAAATTCTTTGAGAGAAGTCCAAAATCGTTATCAACAAATTAAAAAATCGTTTGACGAATTAAATGAACGTTTTACTTCAACAAATGTGCTGGCACAAGGGTTGGAAGTTGAGCAAGCAAAATTGCTAGCTGAAAAAACTGAATTAAATTCAAAATTGGAAAATATTACAAAATTGTCGAATGGTAGAGCACAGCAAATTAAATTGTTAAAAGAACGTTATGATAGGGCAATGGCTATGGCTAGCAAATATTCGCCTGAAATTGTTAATTCGCTTCAGTATGATTTTTTATTTTAAAAAAATTTTTACTAAATTTATTTAATAGGGGTGATAACGAAAAATTAAAATTGGATATAACTCAAAAAGAGAATGATATTGGAATTTTGAGGAAAGAGTGTGATCGGTTAACTGAAGAACTTAAGAAGATTAAGTATGTTTATAAAAAATTTTTTTAATTCTGAAAGGTTAGGGGAGGTGATTTTGAGGGGTGATGTTGTAATTTGGGGTCCTTTTTGGGTTTTGTGGACATTTTATTAAGTCTAGTGATCGGTAATTTAAAGTTGTGACTAGAGGACGGCACACTGTATGTGATATTACGGGATCCCGCCCCGAAATCCCGGGTTTAAGCGACGAGTGGGGTTAATCCTGCGGGTTCCCTTCCCGTCCGATCTTCAAAGAATCTCATTTCTTGATCTTGATTAATAAAAATTTTTTTCAGGGATGAACATAACACACTTACGGCAGAATATACCAAAGCTACTGCAACGCATAAAGCAGCACATGAAAGTCATCTTATGGTCAAACAGGTTGCTAGAAAAATTCGTGAAGAAAAAATTAAGCTTTCCGAAGAAAATGTTAAACTTCAGGTTTTAGTTTTAATCTATTTCCAAATAGTGGGAATTTTCTGGGCTTTTTTCGATCGATGAAAATTTTCATTCTACTACCTAAACTAGTTATGGATATTCTGTCATTAGTTTTTCATATTTTGTCGAATTCCCACAGTTATTTACCAGAGTTCTCCCTCTCACATCAGCAGGGTTGGGGTCATAAGGGCGCGGGGCCATTAGGTGAAACTGACACTTAGGCGAAACCGAAATTTATGAAAATTTTCTCAAATTTCTTTAACATCATTGACTACCTCCTCCAGAAATTTCAGAATTTTTCATCGAATATTTCTGAAGTTATAGTCGATAAAACCGCGAAAATTAGGGTTTTTTTCGGAAAATCAACATTTTTGGCCACAATTTCCGAAATTCTTGATCAAAAATTCTGAAATTTTTGGAAAATGTAGATAAAGGCATGAGAGTTATCAATGCAAAATTTTTTCTTTTCTGATAAGCAGCTCACTGTTTTATAAGCTCACGCCCTAATGGCCCCGCGCCCTAATGGCCCAGTCCCTCTCAACATCTTATTTAGTTTTTAATTTATAGGAAGAACTTATAGCTGTTCAAGACCAATTGGTAAAGACTCGAGATTCTGTTGCTGCTGCCGCTGCAGGCTCTTCAAATGCCGAAGCTGTTTCAGCTATACAAGCGGAGAGGAAGGAATATCAGACAAAAATTGAGGAATTGACTAAAAAAATTGAGGTAATTTTTGAATAGAATTAAAAAAAATTTTTTGTGTTTTTAAAGGCTTCAACTCAACAAATTAAAGAATTAGAAGCTCAAAGAGACGAATTATTAATAAAAATCGAAAATCAACAAAGGGATATTGAAGACGCAGCAGAAAAGGTTATGCGAATTGAAATGGTTGAAAAAGCTTATAAAAACAGTCAGGAGAAGATTCGTCAATTGGGAAGTGAAATTAAACAATTGAAGGAAGAAAATGAGCAATTGAGTAAATTTGGTAAGAAAATCACCTCACTAGTTTGGAGGGTTTTTCGTACCCCATTTTTTCCTCACACCTCACTTCATCAGACCTCATACATCCTCAGGGTGGAAAAATTGGATCTTTATTGAGGTTATTAAATATAGGGGCATCATTTAGTCCGTTCCCCAATTCGGGGGTACAAATTAATTGAAAATTTACTCAGTGGTCAACCAATTTTCATAAAAACTATATCTAGTAATGATTATATCTCATGGAGAGGGTGAAGTTGGGGCATTCTTTGAATATTTTATTGAAAAAATTTTTTTTAAGAGGCAAGTGAAATTGGTGAAGGAATAATTGACATTGACGACATTCCTGTTGCAGCAGCTACTGAAGCAGCAGCAACTTCTTCAACAGATAATAACAAACCTGCTCCTGTTGAACAACAACAACAACAAGTTGAACAACAATTATTAGAGAAGACACAAGATTTTGTTGCTGCAGAATTTCCTATTCAAACAGGAACTGATGGTTTGAATGAACTTAGTTCTGGAGAGAATATTCCAGTTTCGTATGATGGAAATAAGCAAGAAGAAGAAGCTGGATTTTATGAAGAAAAAGGAGAGGGAGAAGAAGGAGAGGTAGTAGGTGATTGTGATGATGTTGATGAAATTGTTGAGGATGAGGAACAAGAAATTTTTGATGAGGAAGGAGGGGAAATTGGTGATGATGAATTTGAAGTTGGAGATGAAGAAGTGGAAGATGAGGAAGTTGATGTTGAAGAAGTTGGGGAGGATAATATGGGACATAATTTCGAAATTGAGGGACCTCCTCGTAAACAACGAAAAATGTTTGAGGAAGAACAGCCTGAGGAACAACAAGTAGGGAAAATTAATGAATTTTTGTTGTTCTTTTAACAAAATTTTTTTTCAAAGGAAAGCGAGACAATGAAAAGTTTTGGTGAAAATGAAGGAGAAATGAAAGTGGATGAAGAAGAAGATGGAGGAATGAAAGAAGAAGAAGAGGATGACGACGATGATATTCAACTTCTTTAAGGGCTAGTAAAAATACCTTTTGGGATCTCTCTTCTATATCTATCTCTCTAAGAGAAAGGATTTTTAAATTTTATTTGGATGTTTTCTAAGCCTTTTTCTTATAATTGTTTATTTTTTGTTTTAAATTTATTGACGGGAATTTTGACATAAATGATTTTAAGTAAAAAAGGAATTTTTTATTACAAATTGGTTTTGTGTTTGATTTAATGGGATTTGTCAAAAAATGTCTGGGGTAATAAAAATAATAAAAGTTCTTAGTCATTTTAAAAGTAATGAAAGCATTAAAAAAAGAGGTAAAATATCTAGTTAATTTTACTTAATATAATATATGTGAAATTAGATTAAGCTTAGCTTGGTCAAAGTTATGATATAGCACAGCCCTGGTTCTTCGCTCGCATATGTAGATCTGTATTTTTGTATGTTGGAGCATGCTCTGACAATTTTTTAAAATTTCTATCTATCTCTAACAAATAAGACAGGATTTTTAAAACCAAAGTTCCGCCGGAGCCCAAAATTCTTCTTATGTGTTTTTTGTTTTAAATTTATCTAAATTTACTGACGATAATTTTTACATAAAGAATCTGAGTCCCGTAAATTTGAGCTCCGGAATGTTGAGCTCCAACATTTCGGAACTTAGATCCCAAAATTCCAGAGCCCAATATTTCGTTTTTTCACGTAGAGCCCAACGGAAACCCAAAATTCCGAAAAGTTGGAGCCCAACTTTCAGAAAAATCATGGAGCCCAACATTCCGGAGCCTAGATTTCAGGACACCAAGGATTTAAAATTTAGAATTCCTTATGATTTGGCTGAGTTTTTGAGTATTTTTGTGTAAAATTTTCCAGTAATCGGGTTGCTTTGTCCAAATTTGTGTTCAACTTTTAGTTATTCCTAACCCCTGACCCGAATTCGACTAAGCGAATTTGGGGTAAAAATTAGAAATTAAAAATTTAGTGCTAAGCTGACACGCCTATTCGATCTGAGTCGAATGGTGTCAAAATTATGTCTTAACATCTAGACGAAGTTATGCGGTCTTAAGTGTATAAGGAAGTATCTACACAGTATTATATTTTCTAATTAAAAGTTTTTATATTTTACTCAATTTGTAAGGCAATATTCATATTAGGAAGAATTTTTTGTATTTTTGAATGTCAGCAAGTTGCTGACAGATTTAACATATTGGTGCTCTGTAGTCTCGTCAGAGGTTAGTTTCGTCAGAAGACATTTTCGTCAGAATTAGTTCCGTCAGAGGTCCCTCTCGTCAGAGGACACTTTCGTCAGAGGGTTGTTTCGTCAGAGAAGAGTTTCGTCAGAGGTACTTTTCGTCAGTAAGGCTCCCTATTTAAAATTCTAATTAACCTGCGGTATTATGAAATGTACTAGGTAATTTGTTTCTGGATCGATTTGGACAAATTTGGTGTCATTCGAAAGAGCTCTAAAAACTGAGTCGAAACAGTTGAGGAAGAAGTTGATCCGACATTTAGAGACCGAGTTACAGACTCCTGAATCCTGATAAACCATAGGAAGGCTCAGCTCGTCTAGCTGGAGTCAACTCGACGTTCTTATCTTAATGAGTTATCATTTGTTAACTCGAATTTTTCAGCTCAAAAATCAGTTTTTCAGAGTCCTTTTTAATGACACCTGATTCGCCCAAATCGATCCAGAAACAAATAACCTAGTACATTTCATAATACCGCAGGTTAATTAGAATTTTAAATAGGGAGCCTTACTGACGAAAAGTACCTCTGACGAAACTCTTCTCTGACGAAACAACCATCTGACGAAACTGACCTCTGACGAGAAGGACCACTGACGAAACTAATTCTGACGAAAATGTCCTCTGACGAAACTAACCTCTGACGAAACTACCGGACACGAACATGGTGTTAATCTGTTGAATCGGTTGATGGTTGTCTCATAAATGTGTTTGTTCGAAAAATATTTCGATTATAAATTCAAGCATGACTCGAAACAACCAAAATTTCGTTTTTGAAATAATTTCTTTTGCCGGAAAATTTTTTTGCCTCTAGTCTCATATGTATGTACTTGGATGATTAATTTTACAAGAAGGTTGTTGTTTACATAATATTAATTATTCCAATTAAAAATTTGTATATTTATAATAAATTTACTATACTATTATCTGGCCGATTGTCGCTAAATCTATATTTTTGGATGTCAGCATTATGTTGGCAAATTATAAATATATTCTTATAATTTTTATAAGTAAAGTTTATAATTTATTATAGAATTTTGTTGTGACTAAACTTTGAAAGATTTATTGATATTAGTCGATAACTTCGCAGGAATTTCTGTAGATTTTTGTTGAACTGGGGGATTTTACAAAAGATTTAGCTAATGAAAACTTTATTTTCCATTTATTACACCATTGAGTTAGATTTACATAATATTAATTATTCCAATTAACTAGTTCTAGCTTTTGACGCTAGTTCAGCTTTTGACGTTCTTTGTCGGTTTTGCAAGAACAGAATAAATTTCCCGGAGTTACTTCCTACCTGTTTATCTCTTCCATTTATTAGCGCTGCAGTTAAAAATTTGAAGAAATTTTAGAGGGTATCAACAAATCAAATTTTCCCCATCATTAGGGGTGTAAAAAATCAGCCAAAAATCAAGCCAAAATGGCATGGCACTAAATCTAACTTGATAAGGATTTTTAAGAAAGAGTTTAGCAAAGGTTTAGCGGCCGTGCAGGATTCGAACCTGCGACCTCCTACATAGTAGTTATTGCTAGGTGCTTTCGCTCACCACATACGGGAGCTCTATCACTGAGCTACTGGGGCATCGACTAACGCTTTCTTTTTATCATCTTAGATTAAGAGGGTTTTCCGGTATCAAAAGGGATTTTTTCATTACCAAGTTGAAAAACGGAGTTTTAGTGATATTTCTATTGATTTTGATATTTAATTTTTACTGGACGGATCGGACCCGGAAAGCAAAATAAGTGCAGGTTTGGTAAATTTTACTAAATTAATAAAGTCAGAGACAAGGTTGTAAGAGAAGGAAGATTTTTTTATTCTTGAAAAATATTTTTGACAAAATATAAACAAAATTTCCTTAATATAATTTATTTCGTTAAAAATTAATTAAATAAGATGACAGTGCTGAATTAAAAAACTCTTAGTCGACACATGCAGCGATTTATTTTTGAATGCCAGTATATTGTACTGGCAAAATATTTTTATTGCAACAGGGGCATTTATCTATAACGAATATTACTCAAAATTAAATCTGTGGACGATGTATGGCAGTAAATTATTTTCAAAATTTTAAATTAATAATTTCTATGTTTTCAAAATTTTGGGAAATAGTTGTAAATTTTTTAGAATTAAAGCTATAAAAATGAAAACTATAAGAGAGCGGTCTTGGAATGTCGTCTCAACTTCTTCCATCCCTATTTCACTCGGTTTCTGCAAAAAATAAAGTGCAAAATTATGCTAAAAAAGTTAAGAAATTTATTTAATTATTATTTTAAGTTCCTCGTCTTTCTGAAGTAGAAAAATACTGAATAATATTAGCTCTGAGGATGGTAGGGAAACGGATCTAACTTTAAAAACATGCTGTAAAAAATTGAATTTTCAATATTTTAAGAATAAATAAGCCCCTTCAATTTTCCTTTACATACTAAAATCTAGATTAATCAGAAAATACTCAAAGGATTCTGTTAAATTTGTATTAAATGTTTTGGTCGAATTAATGGAATTTAAAAATAAAGCATTTCCATCCAATAAGATCAGTACCAAAAATATAGAATTTAATTAAAAATTTAAATGCGTGGATTTATAAAGTAAATATAATTTTTTCTAGTATTTAAATACTGTTTGTTCATATTTAAAGAAATAAAAGAAGTTTTTTTACTATATAAAATTTTAAATTTACTCATAAAATTTTCCTTTTTTGCAGTCAATTTATTAGTGATGGTCGGGAGTTAAAAAAGCCGAGAGTCGGGAGTCGAGACCGGGAATTAACCCCGAGACCGAGTCCCGGGTCGAGACCGAGAGTCGAGACCAATAAATTAGGAGGGAAATCACTTGATATACCCCTATATATCCTTCATAATCCCCCAAATTCCTTGAATCCCCACATCCACAATATAACTTTACCCCTTCTAAATCCACCGATATCCACCTTAATCCACTGATATTCCCATTAATCGCGTTGAATCCGAAAGAGCACTTCGCGCTAAGTCGAGAAGAATAAAATTTACAAAAGTTGAGTTAAATTAACAAAGTTATGTCCATTTATGTAACCCTTTACGTATGGCCCACGATGAAAAAAGAAGGATATACTGTTGCGGAGGCCGGGCATGTCGATCTGAACGTCGGCCGCAACTTCGTTAGTAGCGAAGAACATGCCTGGCCTATTCTAGGGAGCATCAAGAAAGTTTTATCTGCGAAGTTGAAGTGGTAATAACTTTGTTCAGATGTCATTTAATTGAACTCGATACAAATCCAACAAGTACCAAATTCTATTAAATTAAATTTAATATTTATTTTAAAAACTACTCTTTTTATCAAAATGGCATTTAATTTTTATATTTTATTCATCATTTTAAATATTCACAACAATTTTGTTTTAAACGAAATATCTAATTTTAATGAAAATACAAAATGTGAACAAAATAATCGAAGTGGAGTTGGGTTGGTTTTTGCAGTTTCCGCCTTTTTTTTTTTGGCTCCCTTCCCACTTTTTTCATCTAACGTCTCAGATTTTTCAAATTAATCTGAGACCGATTTTCACAAGCTCGTACCAAAATTCGTACTTGTACGAGCAAAAATAGGGGTGGTACGAAGAAGAGGTGGATTGGAATTCCGATTTCCGACGTTTTTTCCTTCCGATTTCCGAAATTTTAAAAAAATTTCAGATTTCCGAAAAAAAATTCTGATTTCCGATTTCCGACTTTTGAGCCAGTTCCGATTTCCGGCTCTTCCGATTTCCGACACCTCTGACTGTTCCGATCCACCTCTGGTACGAAGTACGTTTACAAACAAATCTGAAATTTAATAGTCTAGTCCAGATCCCATTTTTACTGATTTCATTTGCGGCATCTTTACCGAGAATTAAATAAGTAACGTGCTTGGCAGGGTTCAGTGCTGGTACCGGTATGGTACTGATAAGAACGATATGTTTCAGTACTTACCGTACCAAATCGCAAAAATTTTTTATTTAATTTTTAAAGGAATAATTACGTGTCTTATGGTGCTCTAAGTCGTGATGTACAAAATCATAAAGCCCAACCACTACAAGTCAACAAATATACAAGAGGTTGTGAGAAACTAGCTGATTGTCGTAGGTATGGTAGTTAAAAATGAAAAGAATAAAATAAAAAATTTTTTGAAGTTCAATGATTGAAAGCCGGTCAACACGCATACCAAAATATTAAATAAAAGACAAAATATTTGGATGAATTGTGTATAAATTAAAAATAAATTTTATTATTTTTCTCTGATTTAAAGTCTATATATCTATTTAATTCCAAAGTATGCGGAGTCGGCTTCAGTAATAGATACCGATAAAATCTATTTGCCTGATCCGGTCAACTGAAGATGCTGATTCGCTCACACCTTTGATATTAAATTCCATCTCATTATTTAACCTTCGTTCAAATTTTAATCCTTACTTTTCATAAAGCATTAATAAAGCATTAAATTTATTTATTTTTAAAATTACTAGAATGTATGAGTTAACTCTGGATCAGGGAAAAAAAAGGAAAATGTCAAACCTCAATTCTCAGCTTAAGGTCAGACACCTCCATCGGTTGCCAAACCTAAGCTTTTTGAACTTTCAAAATTATGTTTTGTCAATAATTTGACGGAGAGAGAAAATTTGTTAGAGCAATACTCCAACATTCAAAAATAATTAATGGATTTTCAATGCCCAAGAAACGTTGCCAATACCTTTGATTATATACATATGTATTTAATTAAAATTGAAATAGAATATATTAAACAAAATTCAGTCTTATCAAACAAAAACTCCCTAGCTCTTAGATCTTCTCTATTTGAGAAGATCTTTATTTAAAAAAACTTTTTAAATTTATTTCAGACAATTCACATAACATTTAGTATTTTATTTCAAAACTTTGCACAATCTGGCAAAAATTTTAACAAAAAAAAATACCGTAAATACACTAAGTGTATAGCCTAGGGCTTCTATTAGGATATTTACGGTAACAAAAAAATCATTCATTGAGTAGATGTTGTTCTATTAATATCAACAAAATTAGTTAATAAACTGGGATCTTTTTCAATTTCACAAATTCCTTCAACTTCCCTCCCTTCATTTTCTTCCAAACAATTTTTAATATAAAAATTTAATAAATGGGCATAATTACTATTCCAATCCCTTTCAAATAAATTCTTCATTTGTTTAAATATTTGAGGAATTTTTCTTCTTTTTTCTGTTTGCTTCAAAACTATGGCTACTCCAGTGCCTAAATCTTCAAAATAATCTCCGGACCAATTCGACGTTCCAATAATTAAAGTGTCGTCGGTCATTAAAAACTTTTTGTGGGTTCTTCTGTCTCGTTGAAGGACTGGCTGGTAGGCAAAAGAGTCTGCTGGGACTTTGAATATTTTCTGAAATAAAAATTTTTTTAACGTATTCTATTGCGGAGATAATGAGAGAGATATTGTGAGAGGTTGGCGAACACAAAATACGGAATTATTTTAAGCACTATAGAGAAATAATTAAAAAAACAAATTTACTTAATAATAATTATTTTAATTAATATTTTTATTAAATTAATTAATAAGCGCGAGTAAGTGTAAGACCCTACATATCACATTTTAAATATTTTTGAGTATCACTCAATTGAAGTGATAAATTATTTAAACAGAGTCATTGGTTCCATTGGAACCCAATAAAAAGATTTTTTAATTTACCAGAAATAAAACCGGTATTTAGACTAAAAGGTAGATTTTTGGATATGCCGTCCAAAAAAGACGGAATTTGAAGTATGGGAAGAGATCCCATAATTTTTCAATCCATTCTACCAATTACCTAATGTCAAAATTTCCTTCATATTTTTTGTTTAAAAATTTTTTATAATTTGATTTAAAATTAACTTACAACAGTAACAGAACCACCACCATATCTTTCACCCAACACTTCCAACGATTTTAAAAATCCCAATCCTTTACTGGGAAAATGTAAAGCTGTTGAAATTATTTTAATTTTGACGCCTCTAAGGATAGCTTCTCTTATAGCGTTATCTATTGGTGGCCAATACTTTCCTTTTTGTGTATATAAAAACATTGGGAAGTAATCCATGACGTGAATTAATATAAAAGTTTTGGCATTTTTTATAGCTTCAACAATATCGTTTAAATCCCAACTTCGCCTTGGACTGTTTAATGAACGTGGAGATGCCTTTAAATGAAAACAAAATTAATATAGGATTCACAATGAGTTGGCCTCTGCTGTACCCCTACGGTATATCCACTAGACAGGAAAATCACAAATCTGGGATACCGAAGGAGATTTTTTCAAAAGGGCAAACGGGCAGGATTTTAAATTCGCGATTCCGGGACGGGATCTCGTAGAGTCTAGGACAAGATCGCAAAATAATTTACAAAGTTAAAAGCACACCAGTCTCATATCTGTTCCTATCTGGGCACATTACAGAAACATATTTAACACGTTTAAATTAATTTCTCGTCAGGCTTTGTGCGGGTAGATCTAAAATTTTCTAAATTCTCACTAATGCTCCAAAGTAAAGCATTAAATGAAAAACACTCTTCCCCAATTCATTAACAAGGGATACTGTAATATGAGAGAATTTTTAAGCTCTCCTCACTCTACTCACAAAAAACTAAGCAACAATAAAATTTAAAACCTACAGATAAATGCACATCCAATTTATTATTTTCCCCATCAAAAATAGCCAAAGGCTTTTGAGAATTGTAAAATGCTGGGGGCATTTGTTGTATCATTTTTTTGACTTCTTTAAATAATTTTCATAAAATATTTTTTCAATTCAATTACCTTTAGCACATTTCTTTTCAGATGCTTGCCAATAAATTTCAAAAATTCTGGCCAAGTCGCGGCTTAGACAGGGACAATCCTGCATAAGCACACCCATTTCCATTTTCTATGGACGAAATTTAATATTAGGAAATTTTTAACCATAGAAATTTTTAACATAAAATTTGACAATTATTTTCGAAGGATATCAGGGTAATATAACGATATAAAGATTTAGATGGATATCTCCAATATATCTCCTCAAATTCCAACTTCATGGATATCTTCTCTATAATCCCTACCCATTCATTATTAAAAAAGTTACGGGCAAATTTAGGAGAAGTTAGAGGTCAAGGAGCCGGATCCCTTCTATTTTTTTTCGTCGCTAGCAAAAATTCTGTGTTTATAAAGCTCAAAAAATAATATTAAAGGTTTAAAATTCGCCGACTTTCGGGGACTGAGGGTCCAATAACAAATTCAATAACAAATAATTGAATTTATGAGATAATTTACTTAGTAAGCGTGAATTTTGGTAAACTCTAATAAATTAATTACTTGTGTCAGAGAACGCCAATCCAAATTAGCAGATCCCAAATAAAAATGTTTATTATCAGCAACAATAACTTTAGAATGCATAACTCCAGTATTAAATATTTTTTGTAGATTAAGGACCCTTCTATTCAAAACACCTCTTTTGGCCAAAGAAGTTCCGTCTTCATTATCTCCCTTAAAAATTTTTTTTTGAAATTTTTGGACTTAAAAATTTCCCTTAACCTTATCCTTAGCCACAGCATTCTCAACCATTTTTATTTGTATTCCTCTATCAAGTCCAGCACCAATAAGTGCATCAAACATTTTTTCGCCCTTTAATTAAAAATGAATAATTTTGAGATTTAAAAGAAAATTAGGAAGCTTCGTTGGGGGAGTTTTATAAATAGACCCTCACAAATATCAAATTTACAAAGTGGGCGAGAACTGTGAAAGTGACTTTGGAAATAAAAGTTCTCGTCTATCGAGTTATCCCTCTCAATTCCATATAAATCTCTACGTCCTGTCTCTAATTAGGACACACAGCAAGACAAAAAACCAAATTCGCGATTTTCGTGGATTGTGAATTCCCGAAAATGTCAAATTCACAATTTTCTGAAATCGTGTCTCGGATCGGCGCGATCCCTGATACACAATGAATTTTCTTTAAAATTTTTTTCATTCATGGTTCTCATTGAGAGATACCTATGTCAAATTATGATTTTTGTCCGTGTTTCTTATGATTTTTGCTACAGAAAATTTTAGCTTTCAATAATTTTTTTATCATTCATGCCCTATTTTAATTTAAGTATTATTCTCAGTTATCTCTCTAAACAAAAATCCCATCTGCTTGAGTGTCCCTTTCCAAGAGAGAGAGAATACAGTAATTTAAAAATATTATTCCCTTTCATTACTTGAAAAGAAATATTGTTCAAAGCCTGCTCGCCAAGAACGTGTTTTCCTTTAAATTTTTTATTTTTAAATTAAAATTTTATTTCAAAAAACCTCTCAAACTCGATTTATATGCAGCAATTAAAAGTGAATTTTTAGCTGAATTAATAAGTAAATTCCAGGCAGAGAATGTAGACAATGCTGGTTGTTGGGAATATTCAACAGGAAATGTGAGGTTTTGGGCAATACTTTCGACTAGTTGAATTCTTTAAAATTTAAATTAAGAAAAAGAAACAATTCTGAATAAATTATGGGGATTTGCCTGATTATTGTAAACAAGGGAGATTTGAATGACTAGGATTTAATACGATTACTGTGCGGAAAGAAAATCGCCTATAACATTAACTGTTGGAAGGTCGCAGTATTGCAACACGGTTTAAAAAACTTTTATCTCCCTCTTAATCTGCAAAATTTCAAAAGTTCATTATGCCTTAGAAATTTACGATGTTCCTAAAGTAGAAAATTTTAACTTCAAATTTAAGCAAACACTAAACGATTTTTACCAATTTTACTTAATATAATTTTTTCTAATTTTATTCCATTAGAAATAATTTTAAGATTTACAATTTTGGAATTTGCTAGTCGGTGAAAAACAGAATATTTTTGTATACCGTTGCAGAGCATTGGTAAAGTTATTTTCAGATTTATTCTTAATTGAGTGAATTAAGATTGTGCCCCATGTATTTGTCCTCAAAAACTAAAAAGTTAAGTACCTAAATATTTTACATACCTACAAGTCCGGGAACATTCCAATTCATCTTGTTGAACAGGCATTGAAGCAACAGGCTCCAACCGATTTCTAAATCTTGTAGAAAAAGGTAATTGCCATAATAAAATTGTGGCAATACCAAAAAGTGTTCCACAAACAATTATTTGGGCAAAAAGGAGGAAAGAACTGTCAGTGACAGACCCTTCTCTCCTTTCAGAGGTTGTTTGATTTTGAATCGAGTTTATCCTAAATTGTTGTTGGAATGCAAAACTGGTAGAGACTTCGATGTTTTTTGACTCTGAAAAGTTTTCTGAATTTTGATGTTTTTGGTCGTTGCTTGTTTCCTTCTCCATTATTTTTTAAATGAAATTTCGAAAAAATATTTTTTTGAATTTCTAAAAATAGAATCTTAATTATGAAGCTTCATTAATTCATAAGAAAAAGACCCTCTTCACCAGCGTATTCGTACGCCAACTTCGTACTATCTCTAATTTTGGCCTCGTACTCGTACTAAAGTACGAGTTTTGGTACGAGCGTATAAGCTCTGATCTTTACCTGTTATTCTACTTATTTACTTGAGATTTTAAATGATCCAAACTTTGAGCGTAGCATTCCGATCTACCTAGACCCACTTGAAAGAATGTCTCACTCAAACTGCGGTATTCTCATTAAAAATCTTGTTATGTCCGACCGTCTTTGTTTAAAATTGACGGATACTTTATCTACCCCCTAAAGGTCTCTATATTGAGATTTGATTGTATCGCTGTTATTCTCCCCTGTAATACTACTTATTTACTTGAGACATATTAACAAATTTAATAAAAATTCAGCTCATTTATAGAGTGATAAGATAAAAATTAATGAAAGAAATATTTCTCGGACCATATATTTATATACAAAAATCTAGTTAAATGATCTTTAAACGTGATAATTATCTTATGCCTCTCTCATTTCAAAATTGTTCTTTTTTGTAAATTTTTGGCTCAATTAACGTCAATTATCAAATGTTTAAGACAATTTTAGGAAAATATAAAACATTTACTTATCACTCCATTGACGTCAATGGAAGAACGGTGAAAGAAAAAGGGTCCGAAATTCGTGGCACATTTATAAAAGGTACACTATTGTTGTCTATTTTTGAAAAGATAATTTTATTTACTTAAAAAATAAAGATAAAAAAATTTATTGGGTTAATAAGGCGCGAAGACATTACGGCGTGAGCATTTAAAAATTTAACATAAACTTAATATCTTTGAATTTTTTTACTTATAATTCTAATAATGTTAGGCCTCTTTTCTATGAATTTTAGAATTTTTTGATTATTATTTCCAAAGTTATGGACAAAAAAAGGACTACTAATGTACAAGCTTTTCCGATTTTGGGTACTGAAATACAAAACATATAAAATTCCATGGACCCGCGATTTATTTTAAAAAGCCTACAATTTACAAATTTAGGTGACCGCATCATAAAAAATCAGTAAAAATCGTTACTACTTTAATAAAAAATCTTTTAAAATTTTTGAAAAGATCAAAATAGTTTAAATTAGTTTTTAAAATGAGCTAGGCACTTTAACTAATACAAAAATTATTTAGAACGACAATTTGCCAGCTGAATTAACTGGCATTCAAAAATATGAACGTGACTTTGTCAATAAATACAAACGGCACAGCTATGATCGAAAATAAACATTTACTTTAATATAATTTAAATAAATTATATTAAGTACATTTTACTATAAAATTTCATCTAATATTGTCGGTTTTAAGAAATACTCTAATAATACTTTGATTAAAATCCTTTAAAATTTTTGAAATGATTGAAAGAGTTAAAAAAATTAAACAAAAATTTGCGCATAAAACCTTGTGTCCAAATAAATTTAAAAATAAATATATTTTTAAAAAAGTAAACAGATGTTATCATTAAAAAGAAAGGAAGAAGAGTTGTTGTTTATTTTTGATAAACTCAACAACAACAAAAAATTTTTGTTGTTAAAAAATCTTTAAAAAATTGGAAAAGTACACAAAGAATGATTAAAAGATTATTAATAAGCTTATAAAATGAGATGATTTAGAAGTAATTATGAGTAGCAAATAATAATTATGAATTGACGTCAAAAAATTATTTAGTAAAAATAATTTGATAAGACGTTTTTTAGAAGAACTATTTTTAAAATTTAAGTTAGAATAATTATCTATAATTTAAAAAATTTGAATCGAATTTGTTAAGAGAGGCTTGTATATTTTTTTAAAATCATTTTTGGCATTATGAAATTGTTCATGATGAGGTTAAAAATTGACCTTTTTTAATTGCCCGAGGCTATTTATTGACAAATAGGAGGAACCAAAATATTTCTTCCTCATAAGCATGTTGGTCATCTACAGGTCATTCTACTTCCCCAGACAAATTTCAAGCTAAACTTAATTTATGGTTTATATGGGAGTATATTTTACTATTTAAAATCCATTCTACATATACCTTTAATCCAGGGCTCGGATCGACAAAATGCCAATAAAAAGTACAAAAATCTTGATTTTAAAGTACATAGGGGCAAAATTTCCACATTTAAAGTACACTCAAAATTAAATTAGAAAATATTTATTCGTGCTCAAAACTTTTATATTTCTCTCTTAAATTAATCTTTTCTAATAATTTCTTGTTTCAACTTAGCATTTTATCAATTTCAATGCATCTTTTTTTTGGGCCGAAGGCGCCAAAAAATTTATTTTTTGCGCCGCAGGCGAAAATTTTGAGAATTTTGTAGGTCCTTAAGCCAGATTTCTTCCATTTTTGCGCCGCAGGCGAAAATTTTGAGAATTTTGGAGGTCCTTAAGCCAGATTTCTTCCATTTTTTGCGCCGCAGGCGAAAATTTTGAGAATTTTGGAGGTCCTTAAGCCAGATTTCTTCCATTTTTTTCAAAATGTTGATTTTAAAGTACATACTTTCAATAAAGTACAAATTCAATTTCGTAAGTACGGAGGTCGATTTTAAAGTACTGTACTTTCAAATAAAGTACGAATCCGAGCCCTGCTTTAATCAAATATTTAAAACAAAAAAATAAATAGGTAAAATTTCAATAAATTTAACATTTTTACTAAAAAATTTAAAAAGAAATGATGGAAAATACAAAAAGTCACAACAAAAACAAAAATAAATTGCTTCTACCTCTTGAATTACTTTTTGATATAATTAAGGCAGCTAATAAAAAGCAAACGAATAGATACGGAAAATATCTTTGATAATTAGAGAAATGAATGGATATTCTGGGTTATTATTTAGTAGAGATTCGGGATCGGTAACTCAAATAATTCCATATTTCATTCCTGGCCTTATTGGGTTCTGAAACGTACAAAAAACAAGATATATTTTAGCGTTCTGTCCATATTTTCCATATTTAGTCCATATTTACCAATTTTTTTTACAATTCTGATTAACATTTCTTCGAAATTTTTCCATATTTTGGCGTTTTTTTTCATATTTTTCATATTTCAGTCACTTTTCGAGTAAGGATGGTGGTTCCTAGGAAATCTCCGGATATCCGGAACGGATATCCGAAACGAAAATTTCCGGATATCCGTGGTTTTTTTGGTTCCGGATACCAGGAACCGCAAACCTTAATTTCGAGATCATTAGTCCATTATTATATATACATATTTCCGATTATTATTCCAAATAAATCCTAACCAGCTCATTACCGAGCTTTTTCGTTATCTTGTTATAGTTCGATATCTAGATATAGGTAACTCGCATACGTTCCTCAGTGAGAGAGATACTCATCCCAAACGACATTCAAGATTATGCACGATATGTACTTCAGTTCATCGAACCCGAACTGAAATTTTCAGTTAACCGAAACGAGTTCGGAACGGTTAACTCTCTGTCAAAACCTCTCATTTGTTAAACGCCAGTCTAAAATTTTGAGAACTTCGGAAAGCCAACATCGGGAAGCCAAGTCTTCAGCAACCGAAACCGAATTATTAACTTTCGATTTTTCATCTTAAGGTTTGACGAAAAATCAAGATTCAACTTCTATAGGTCAAGGTAAAAGCTCTGCGGTATACTGACTATGACAGAAAAGGATATACATACTTATTAAAAGGAAGTAATGACCGAGTTCCCGTATCTATTCTAATGTCTGTCAATACCAGACATGATTCAAAAAATATTATTTATACTGAAAATACAGCAATGATATTAGAATTGAAAGAATATTTTATAAAATTAATGTCTTGTTCTACAATATTATATGCTTATTTTGGAGAAAATTTAATAAAACTTTTTAGAAAATTAAAGGTAAATTTAATTAAGGGAAGATATTGAATTGTCAGAAAGTCTCTGATAAAAATAAAAATAATTTTAGGTTACTTTCGGTTATGTAGCCACAATGTCCGCAAGTTTTTTCTGCAATTTATAAAAGATTGTTTTGTGGAGTATTTTTGGAATATAAATTTTTGTAAATTTCTTTTCTGAAATTCAAGATAAAATAATTTACAAATTCTAAAATAAATCCCAAAGAAGTCCAACAACAAAACCACAGCTATTGCTGTGATTGTCCACATAAAGAGTAAAGTAATCGGTACTTTCCAACTTTACAGACCCACTTTTTCCTGTCTCCAATTTCAGCTGCCTGAGCACTTCTTCTAGCTGAGATGCCAAAATACTTTATAAAGACTTAATAAAAAATAATTATTTTTGATTGATTTTAGGGCCAAATACAAAAGGTAATTGGTATGGAAAAAAGGATATATGAAAATAAATAGGAAGGAAAATGGGGTCTGTAAAGTTCAATATTACCAAGTGATCACTAAAATCCAATTTAATGTTGTGGTGTTAAAATCTGCTAAGATGAACGAGAGGAGCGCTGAAAGATATGTTGCTGCTGTACATTTCAAGTAAATGCGTGAGGGACGTCGACACGTGATCAATCGACACTTCCTTTTGAAAAAATTATAAAAATTTTTGTTTAGATGCCATCGTGAACATTTTCATGCCCCCAAAATAATTTTTTCTCTATTAAAATAATCTTTTTGAGAAAATAAATATAAAAACTATGCAGAAAAACTTGAGGGCATTGTTACAACATATTCAAAAAGACTGCAGTTAACATTTTAAGTAAGAGAGATGAAAGAGTACACATCCTTTTTAAATGAGAGACGCTCATTACATTATTTCAAAAATTTGAAATAATTTGAATAAGGCAAAATATAGGTTATCTATAGGCAAAAAAATAAAATTTTCAAACACCCAACCAATTCTTTCATTTTTTCTTCTTCACTTTATTTCAATCCAATCATTAAACATATTTTTATTTAAATTACTAAATATTTAAATTATTTTTTGTGATTTTAATTTAAATTCATGTAAGAGTATCTACGTAGATTATAATGTAGTGAACATACTGTTAGGTCCGTTGGAGGCATTATGTAATAGGGTAGAATTAAGCGGTATCGGGATTTAGAGAAAAACCCGGGATCGGGATTTAGGAATGGTGATCCCGATCCCGGATCCCGACACGGGATCGGGATTGGCCGGGATCGGGATATATATTTCGGGAGCGGGATCAGAAAAATCGGGATTGGGATCTGAAAAACCCGGGATAATCCCGCCCGATCCCGACCGGGATCCCGATCCCGCTCAACCCTATAATAGGGTTCGACCCCTAAACAAAATAAACGTCTTTATTTACCATACATCCACTAAGCACACAGAGAGTACCCTCGATTTATTGGATTTAATGCTGATAGTTTTTTCAGAATTATTAAATAATTTTTTAATTATTCGAGATGAAGTTATGTTTCATTTGTAAACAACATATGAACGAAAATGACCGAACAGTTCAAATCAATGCCTGTCTTCACCTGTTCCATAGAGACTGTTTAAACATTAAGAATGACAATTGCCCTGTTGACGGGTGTACAACGAGTATTCAAGGAAATGCTCTGTTTTTTAGTTGGGGAAATTCTTCTGATAAGGGGTCTTTACAAGCTGTAGAAGCTGTTCCAATTACTCAGGTATCGAATTAATTTTCATATGAATTTTAAGAAGACGAATGTTTTATAAAAAATTTTTGAAAAATTTTGGAAATTATTTATTTGAAGCCACCTGGAGATTTTTAGATTTGATTTCATTTTTATGGCATCTGACTTTATACTAATTTTATCTGTAGCAAAATTTTTCAATTTTACGGAATTTTATGCAAAATGTATTCATTTCTCATGTATTCATTTCTCACCTCGAACTAAGATTCAGTCCGAACGATTTTTTTTGCTAGCACGGTCTCATCCTTATTTTAGGCACCTGTTTCATTTTGCAGAAAATTCTTATTTGTTTTTTTTATTTAATCATTATTTTTCTAACAGTCATATATTCAATTCGACCAAGTAGGTATGCCGCACTATATGTATACAACATGGCCATATTATAGGTGTTTTAGTTAAAATTTTATATAAAATTGTATTTATTTAACAGTTATTATGTTGATGAAACCCGACCGTCTTCATCTCATGTTTCCTATGCACAACAACAATTAAATCCCTACCCCACTCAACAGCCACAACAGACTTATCAACCTCGTTATTCTACACAACCTGGGGTACTAATAATATTTTAAGTTTTGAAATTTTTAAAAAGAAAATCAAAAATTTTATAAAAGGAAAAATAGATGACAACTTCTAACTCCTCGAAGATTTTTAGAATTAATTTATAGAATATCCCATGTTTTGAGAGATAATACAAAAATGATGAACTTCATTATATCTAAAAATTGAGCGGGATATTTTAACAAATATTTTTTAAAAAATAATCGAGATAATTAGTACCTATAAGCCAAGAATATTTATAATTTTTTGTTCTGAAGAGTAAAAAGGAAATTTTTTATAAAAATTTATTTTCGGGGTTTACATTTTTAAAGTGAATTTACTATTTTTAAAATATTATTTTTAGACGAATTTCTCTGTTGGGCAGACTTCAAGCACTCCTGGATCAACTCGGGCACCAAGGCCTCCAACTTATTTCAACTTACCAATGCCTCCACCTATTCTTCCTCAAAACATTCCCTTACCGCCTATTCGACCATCAACTTTTAATGCTATTAATTTTGGTTCAGAATTAAATGGTAATTAAAAATTACTTAAAATTTCTATTATTCATCTCATTTTAATCTTTTTTCTAAATTTAAAAAAAGTTTAATCGGCATTAATGTGAAGCGATTTTATGGTCAAAATTTTGGAATTTTTTCGTCAAAATTTTTTTTATAAATTATAAATTTTTTTGGTAATATTTCGGTTTGTTCCGCCTCTTTTTTCCTGTATCTTTCTCTATAATTTATCATTTATCGTTTGAAATAGCTTTTTGATCTGGGTCGGATGTCCTATGATCGTTTATTTCCTTGATTCTGAACTCAATTATGATTCTGAATCCTCGTTTAAAACTTTTTGTGTCTCTATAAGCGATTAAAATTAACGGCCATACCTGTATGGCTTAAATCTGAGTTCATTGATTTTAGTGCCATTCTAATCAGCTTGAACAGCTCTTTCAAACGATAAAGAGGATGGAATAAACCGAATTATTACTAAATTTTTCTAAAAAAATTTTCGGAAAATTTTTCGGTAAATTTTTTTAAAAGATCGCCAAAAATATTTCATCAAAATTTTTGAGTCAATTTGGGAGGAATGAACTAAATCATAGCAGCCATATTTAAATGTGCTGTGAATCTAAAATTGGCGATTTCCTCAGTGGCAAATCAATTTTATAAAAGCATATCTAAAACTATAGGTATCTAAAATTAGGGTTATCCCAGCTAGTTTGCCCAAATTCAAATTCCAATTAAAAACTAGAATTTTTAGTTCCTTTACTGCAGTTCGAGACAAGAATGTGTACAAAATGTAATCACCCAATCCCAGCTATTTGGTTTGATTCTCATGTTAAAGCTTGCCATCAAGGCAGAAAAAGAAAGTCGGATAAATAAATTATTTAAAATATTTAAATGCTATATTTTTGACGTTAAAAAGTTTTTAAAATTTTACTTATTTTGTAAAATTCTGGTTAATTTGTAGAATTTGTGAAAATAAATTTTTATATTTTTCATACATTTTCACCGAGGCATAGGTAAAAAAACTTACCCGTATTTGGCAAAACCTTCAATTATTTCTAAACAGATCTCGACCTCCCAAGATTGTTGTAACACTCTCAAACATTTCATTAGATTCATAAATTTTATATGGACTCATAAAAGGTCATTGGACGCATAAGCTAAAAGAGCCTCACTTTGTTTGGCCTCAATTCTCACTCTACCTATTTTTTGAGATTCTCAATGACTTTACCATGAGCCCAAAAATTATCCACTTAATCCTTAACTGGGATATCTCCTTATCTTTTCAAATATCCAGATATTCCTCCAAATCAAACAATATATTATGGTCGGCATTAGTACTACTTGCCTTATACAGTAAATTTATCTTGTATGATTGATTGACAATGGCGTAGCAGAGTCCAGACAAAGAGGAAAAAATCAGCAAAAAGTGTCTGCAAAAAGCACGTAGGGGTAACAGAGTGTAGGGGTAACAGAGTGATGATTGAATGATGTTACATCCGTTTAGATCTCTAATTATTATCTTCACATTTACCTGAAAGAGAGAGAGAGATTGCTTTTGCAAATTAGAAGATTATGGTTAAATTTAACTAATTTTTCTACAATTTCTAAAAAAATTTTCCTTTCATTTCTTATTCTGCCTCCTCATTACATTGGGTTGACATAATTTTTTCAAATATTATGGAGAAAGCAAGCTTATCTTCCTAGTTAATATGTCTAGGTCAGGGCTCCGATCGACAAAATGCCACTCAAAAGTATCAAAATCTTGTAAAAAAAGTACATAGGGAGAAAATTTGCAAATAAAAAGTACACTCACAATTAAATTTGAAAATATTTATTCGTGATCAAATCTTTTATATTTCTCTCCTAAATTAATCTTTTCTAATAATTTCTTGTTTCAACTGAGCACATGAAGCAAAGCTCTGACAGTCTTAACCTCAAGCGAGTTTCTTTCTTTCGTCCATTGAGTGTTTGCCATTGAGAAGCGCCGCAGGCGAAAATTTTTTGAAATTTGGAGCCTAAGAAGCCAGATTTCTTCTTTTTCAGCGCCGCAGGCGAAAATTTTGAGAATTTTTGAGGTCCTTAAGCCAGATTTCTTCCATTTTTTGCGCCGCAGGCGAAAATTTTGAGAATTTTGGAGGTCCTTAAGCCAGATTTCTTCGTTTTTTCAAAAATGTTGATAAAAAAGTACATACTTTCAAAAAAGTACAAATTCAATTTCGGAAGTACGAAGGTCGATAAAAAAGTACAATACTTTTAAAAAAGTACGAATCGGAGCCCTGGTCTAGGTCATATTGCTGTAAGTAGATTCCACTCCTATATTAAACTTAAAAACAGAAAATTTTCCCTTATGAGCTTCATTTATTTAGCTTTACTTTTATTTTAGTAAATTCTTTCCCATCTTTTTTTATTTCTAAATTTCCAGAAAATTATTTTTTAAATGAATAAAAAAGAACAAAATCCATTAGGAGATTGGAGATTTTGTTGGGGTGGCAATTATGGTAATATTAATAATTATTATTCAAATAAAACTGAAGATGAGACAAATTCTTCTACAATTGCAGAAGATAAAGAAGAAGAAAGTTTAAAAGATTCTTGTGTTTCTTGCTGTTTATCACAAAATATAATTGAATCTTTGACACAACGTATAGAGAAATTGGAGGTTAACTAAATTTGTTAACAAAATTATTTTAAAATATTTTTCATAAATTTATTCTTAGAGATCGGTTTTTGGGTTGTTTTAATTAAGAAAATTTTGTGTTCTAAATTGCAGGATTTTCTTAAATCAGAAGATTATAGCAAAAAAGTAATGAACTTTAGTAAATCATTGAGCATCTCCGGATATCCGGATTAGAGGTTGTGTGATATTAATAAAAACATTTTATGAAAATGTCTCTTGCACCTAACCCCTATCCGGATCCGAAATAAAATTTATATTGTTGACTGTGTATAACTAAATGCGTCCAACACTAATTATGACTCCACCTAATACTTTACAATAAAGATTACAAATATTCAAAGTGCTGATAATGGAATAATATGACAACTGAAATTGCTTCTGCAAAAAGTGAGCAGGGATAACCGATAAAATTTGTCTGACCATTATACGCTTTTTGATATTTTAATCTTTATTAGAAAGGAAGAAGAAATTGTGGAGATAACCATATAGCAGATAATTTTGTCTATAACTAATTATTCATTTTATATTAGTATTTTAATCAAAAAAATTAAGAATGTTGTATATGAATTTACCAAAGACAAAAAAGAAAAATTTCAAAATATTGAACAACAAAATAATGAAAATAAAGATAAAACTGCAAATTTAGAGAAAATATTTTATCAAAAAGATATTAAAATAAATTTGTTGGAAAGTGAAATCAAAAAGGTAAGTAAATAAAGTATTCCTCCTCTTGTGGCAAAATGTCCTTCAAATTTTCCCTTGTAGAAAAAAACAAGATTTTTCATAGACAATGGCATTAATTATGATAGTGGCAATAATTAGGGCAGAAGGGGAGAAAATATCATATCCAAGAATGTGGATATGATACGTGGAGTAGAACTAGAGTCGATGATTTCCTAAAATATTCTTTTACTAGTGAAATAAAAAATACCGTATTTTTGACCATTATGCACTTTTTGATAATTGTAATTTTATTGGAAAGCAAGGATAAATTGTGGAGATAAGCATATATCTATAAATTTTTTAGCTTTAAAATACTTAAATTTTTTATTTTTATTTAGCAAATAAGTGATTTACAAAGTAATTTTTACAAATATTTATTTGAATTTCAACTTGAAATTAACCAACTAAAGAAAGATAACGAGACTAATATAAAAATTATAAAACAAAAAAATAAAGAAAAATATCAACAATTAGAATCTGAAAATACAAGCAAAATTTCTTATCTAGAAGAAATTATTCATCAAAAGGATGTAAAAATAACTTCATTAGAAAAAGATAATAAACAGGTGATACTCATATTAATTTGCATTTTTAATTTTGGTATTTTGTTCATATCCAGCCTCAATACATATTTTAATATATTAATTTTCCATTTTTTACTACCTATCATGTGCATATGTATTTTCTTAAATATGTAGAGTTTGAAAGAAATTTTATCAAAATTTCGATTAAAATTCTCGTTTCAATGTTGCTCTCTCGTAAATTGAGTTTGTTGATGATTGACAATCAATCATCTGAGACTCAGATAGAGAGGGAGGGGTGGGGGATATTATATGAACAAAGTAGACCTGTCCATGGACACAGGTTTTGGTATCCATATCCGGATAAAGGCGGATATCTTCAAGCAACTTGATATTATTTGAATCCATATCCTTATCCATGGACAGGTCTGGAACAAAGTTCCTTAATTTTTACTCCAAAAATCAGTTTGGTTTTAGGCCAACTAATATATTTATTACTTATATACTAAAGTATTTATTTAGACAAATCACCTAATTCAATCATTGGAGACAAAAATTAAACAAAACGAAAATGAATATTTAAATAAAATAAATGTATTGGAGGAAAATTTTCTACAAATGGAAGGGAATATTAAATTGTTGGAAATTAAAAATAAAATGGTAATTTTGTCGTTATAATAAATCATGAATAAGGAGACGCCGATATGCAAATATGCCAGGAAAGGGCCAAAATCTGCAAAAATATTTATTAAGAACCGGGTTCAAAAGTTCTCGGACCTATGTAAAGACACGCTTCTCTCATCATGGCATATCCGCATGTAAAGGCTGGACGAAAGAATTTTTGCTCTTAATCCACCTTAATCCCACAAACCATCTTAATACCTCCAAATCCATCGATATCCTCTTTGATACACAAAAATTCTCAATGCGTACAAATATTTCGAATTGGCCTCAAGGATAATCGACTTTTTGGTCTCTTGGTGACCTTCCGGGTTGATTGTGAAAATCCAAAAATTTTTCACATAAAATTTTTTTATATTCCTGTTCGAAAATCGTTTTTTTTAGGAATCAAAGAACAATGAAACAATCGACAATTTAAATAAAAAAGTTGTCAAATTAACAGAAGTACAAGAGGATTTAATTTCCTATGTTGCTTCTAATAGAACGGTTAGCAGTTAAGCATTATTTGTAAAAAAATTATTTAGAAATATATACAAATTAAAAATAAATGGAAGTATATTGATGGTCGAAGAAAATGTTGTGAAGATAATTGTATAAATACAGAAACACCATCTCGCTTATGCAAAAACGGAAATGGATTTATTGAGATAATTGATGACACAAATATTATCTACAATTATAATTATGATCTGGAGACAGGTATAATAAATACGGTTTTTTAGAAGAATAAAATGTAGTCATGGACAAAAAGTGCAATAAATACATGCAGGACTTTCTGGATTAATATTTTTTATTATCCAGCCCACACTTAAAAATAATTGTGCTAATTGGGGACAAGTGTCGGTATGGGGACAAGTCTCGTTACTTTAGATAGGGACAAGTTAAAAAGATGGGGCCAAGTCGTTAGTTAAATCGGAACTGTCGGAAATCAGAATTCCAATCTACCTCTTTTACTAAGTATATACTCAAAAAAATCTACAGAAAGAGACTCTCCCCCTAACACTCTCCCTCCACATGTAAATGCATAAAGCCTTTAACGTTAATTTAATTTACCCAAAAAAGCTCATGTATTAGCTGTAGGAGAAATAAGCCCAGTTAAGCTTTATTATTTGCATTTATTAATTAAGGTAAAGATAACACTGCGTGGATCGATGCCGAGAATAGATTTAATAAACCAAAAGAAAATTGTTTTTTTGCTTCATTATTGTACTATGAAATTACACTCACAACAGAAAAAATACTTGAATATACATGCTTTGGATTTCGTAATA